AGCGTCCATGTCCTGTGATAATTTGATTAAGATCCAGGCAGCATGAAATACATTTATTATATGTAGGGATCAAATTATAACTGTAATCCTTTTTTCTATCAGACTCATTCCAATCCTTTTTTTTACATATCAATATAAAATTGTTTTATTTTATTTACAAGAATTCTTCTCGATGGTTGGACAATGGAACACTCCCCGGATTCGCCCAAAACTGCCTCCTTGGCCAACACATCGGCCCTTTCGTTACCCAAAATCCCAATATGGGACTTAACTCATTTCACAACATGAATTTTGGTGATTTCTTCATAGAGACATTTAATATCAACAACTAATGAGTTTTTACATTCGTAATTTTTTAAGGCCTGGAGACCAGACAGACAATCACTATAAATTGATATTTTATAATGTATAAATAAGTATTCCTTATCCATCTCAAAGCATAAAAAATAGCTGTCAATTCTGCCTGGAACACTGAATTAAAATTTTCCAATTTAATTTTATCATTGTAAATTCAGTACCATAGTAATATAAACATAAGAAAAACCTATCTTACCATCGATTCCAGAAACCATCTGTAAAAATGTCAATTTCACCAAATTCAACAAAATGAAATTCATAATCAATAATAACTCTTTTAGCAGGGTGTATACAATAAGGATCCAAGTTATAAAAAGCAGTAAGTGTCTACGATCCTGGTATTCCAAGTTCACAAAAACGGCCAAGAGCCATCATGGGCGGAGACTATGGCATCTATCCTCCTGCTAAAGGGCGTACACACGATCTCGCCTCTTCAGTTCCAGCCCCCGCGCCGTGAAGGACGTCGTCTCTAACTTCTAAAATTGCTATTCCTCACTGGCTGTGCTAAATTGCTGTTTTCTACTCAAGTTCAACTGAAAAGTGGCCTTCTTCGCACTGGTTATCAATCTGTTCCTTTAAAAATAACATCATGCCCGCAGAATTAATTTCTGCCTTTGATATTTCCTCGTGTTTTTACAAACTTTACTACATTCTGATTTAGTGCCATATGCCAATGAGACTCTTAATTTCTAAAATCTTTCCTCTCCCCTTTTTGCTTTTGTGTTTTATCTATGTCATAAATATATATATATATATATAAATCTAAACTTTTGAGTTAATTATTATTATTTTTTTTTCTATTCCTAAACTCTCTCGAGCTAATGTGGCTGCCTCTAGTTTACATCAAACTAACTATTTATGTAATTTTCCTATTTCTGCGAGCTACTTAAATATTTTTATGATGTGGAGGTACATGGTTTAGAAAGATAGGCACTGCGAAATACTTAATCATTGGCATTGGCAGATTATCTGGCAGAACTGTGATTCGTATGGTAAAATTTTCATAGGTTTTACATCATTTATTTTCGCAAAGGGGTGCAAGTGTTTAGATGCTATCGTTGCCAGGCTTTTGGTCATGTCGAATGCGATCGTAGCCATGCTCATGTTTGTGCACATTGCAAGGAAACACATGACAGTTTGGGTACAGAATGTCACGCTGAACCCTCGTGTACTGATTGCCAAAATTTTGCTCTCCTGATTATTTATATTGAATTGTTTTAACAGTTATTATTAAGTTAAGGAACTACTCTGATATGCGCCCTCAAGTCGCCAAATTTCTCGCCAAATATTTTTGGCGAGAAACTTCACGCTGCCATATTACTATCTAAATTTTTTGTCTACATTTTGAACTTTTAGCCTAAAATGTCTCCAAAACGCGGTTTTCGCACATGCAAAAACTACGTTTTGAACACACAATTTAGCAAAAATCCGAAACAAAAACAAAAAATTTAGATAGCAAAAACGTAAAGTTTCTAACCAAAAATATTTGACAAGAATCCATGTACACAGCGACATGTTTTAACTTAAAAAACATCTACGAATTGCACAATGTAGGCAACGAACGAATCTACAAACTACGCACACCTCGCTTTAATAAATTAACATAATAATAATAAATTTCAAAGAATACCATGTACACAGCATCCTGTTTAAACTTAAGAAAAATTCTACGAATTGCACAAATGAGGCAAGGAAGGAATCTACGATCTACGCACTCTTCGCTTTAATAAAATAACATAACAACAATAAATTTCAAATAGTACCATGTACACAGCGTTCTGTTTTAACTTTAAAAAACATCTACGAATTGTACAGTGTAGACACTAAACAACAAAATAAACTAAAATAAATTTTATACAATTAAAAAAAAACAACAATAACGACAGAAATTCATACTAAAGAACCAATGAACATAACATTCTACAAAATAAGAACAAGGATAAAATAAAATGCACTTACCATGAATTAATGCGTTTTCGAATAGCAGAAATATAAATTTCATACCGCCTTTAACATGCCGCCACGTAATCACTATGCATTTACACGACAGCCAGACACACTATCCAGAAAATTTATACTATGGTTCACAAATAAATAAAATTACAAATCCCTACTTCTATCATGCACTGCCATTAAAAATAATCTCCCAGACCCTCTTTCCACACTTCGAAATACCCACTACCCCTCAAACAGGATAGCCACAATCATATTTTCCTTTTGCCGAACTTCAATTCAACAACTACCATTTTATCTTTCCCTCCCATCTTCTCAGACACAGATGCGAACCAACGAGCTCCAGTGAAAAATTTTTCAACGTCAACAGGGTTGCCATAGAACACGCAATCGCGCCAAAAACCAGCGCAGAACACATATCGCCACATTTGGTGAAATTAGGGCGTATATTAGAGTTGTACCTAAGTTAAATAATAATATTGCTGTTTGCGTCCTAACAAAAAAAAAAAAAAAAAAAAAAAAAAAATAGCCGTTTTGCTTTAATAAAGTGATTATGAATTGTAATCTATATTATGTGATTTTACTAATATTCTGGATACTTGGTTAGGTACTTTTCCGTTTCGCCGGCGCAAATCTCGCCAAGCAGATTTTATTGGCGAAAACACATAGTATACACATAATAAATGTTGACAAATGTTAGTTCTAAGAATTTTTTATTCTAAAGGTATAAACATTTTAATGTCGTTTAAAATTTTGCAAAAAAGCCAATAAATAAAGACAATAAATTTGTAAAAGGACATTACTTTAAGAATTTACTATACTTTCATCGTACAATCATCGTACGTGTTTCATCGTACAACATCCTGATTCGCCGGTTCGTATCACGTGACCACAAGTGATCTCATCTCGCGTTAATTACGCTACAAAAATGTAATTCTCTCAGTAATTATCTACTTAATTTCAAGTTAAATCTTAATTTGAAATACAAGTTTAAATGCCAGAATTATTACAATTCGTACGAATAGCTTACTCAGAAATTTTGTAAAACCGCAGTACTTTACTTCGCTAGTGCATTCTAATTTAACTTTGCCTTTTCTATATTTTCGCCATCAGACGAGTAGTGAGATTGCATCCTAATTGACTTAATTTCCTTCAATGGTCTTAGGGCATAAAATTTAATTATCTTGTAAAAATTCTATGTAATTGTATGCCAGTATTGAAAGAAACAATCGATCTGATAAGAAATGGCTGCGACTTGTTTTGAAAATGCAAAAGTTAAAGTAAAAGGTTACCAGCGAGGATATTTCGTTTGGCATCAGTTGTACCATTACTGGCGACTTTATCGCTTGCGCCGGCAAAACGGAAAAATACCCTCGGTTATTACGAAACGGGGCAAATTTGTACTGGATTTTGTAACGAATTTAATTATGATCATATTACTTTGCATTGTTTTGGTTATTTCATTATGGATCTATTACGGGTACATTCTGAATGCGTTTTATTCCTTCGTAGTACTGGAATTCAAGAATTGAGTTCATACCAATACATGGACCCATTTTTGAACTGTAAATATTGACTCCGAAATATAATTAACTTGGTATTGTGAAATATTAGAGCAGTAGGAATTTATGACAAGTTATGGACAATTTGTTTGTGGAGTTTTATGAACAATCTACTTGTAAACATTATTGCTGTATTATGTCATTGTATTATATTTGTATTTCTCATGAGACTCATAAGATTGAAGGCAATTCATTCAGTAGCAGGAATAAGAACAGTCTTACTAGATTATGGTATTATGGTATATACAAATTGTTAGTAGTGCAAAGATGTCAATGTAACAAACCTTGCTACTGTAACTATTCTTTCTGCTAGCGAACAATATAGATTTTCCTTCCACTGATCGGGCATTATTCCGTTTGCTCACTACCTTAGGTCGGAAGCCCGCTCAGCGGTTAAGATAAAATGAAATACTATATTCGTAAGTTGTATCTACTGATTATCTAATTAAATAAAGAGAGATTTGTAATTATCTAAGAAAGTAAGGAGAGATCTGTTTCTTTAAACTTCTATCGTAGTGGTTGCACGAGTTTGGCTGGATCACCGTCATCTTACGGTCGGAGGTAAAATATATAGTTACTTTGACAAATATTAAAAAACTATGTGAAAATATATTTATTATTTTTTATTTAAACAGCTGTACACGAAAGGCCAATGGATAATCAAGAAAGTCCTTGGGAGCTCATTAAAAATATAGCAAGAGTAAGTGCAATTAAATATGTACTCTGTTTTATAAATTTATGATTTTTTATTCAGTATTTGACGCTGCGAGGAGGACCCTGTGTTTCAGAACAGCGTTAAATATTATATTATATGAAATGACTGTTTTTGGAATATATATATGTTTAAACAACCGTGAATACGTTTCTTTTTAATGATTGTGAAAGTATGGCTTCGAGAATTAAAATGCCTTATAATGAAGGATATAATAATATTAAAATTATAATTCAAATGTCTAATAATTATCTTAAGACATTTCAAATGTCTTACAATAATTATATAAATTGTGTTATATTATATAAATTATGTCTCAAATATCTTACTATAATTATATAAATTATGTCTCAAATGCTTTATAATAATTATATAAGTAATCCTATATTTTTTAATTCAGCGTATAATAAAAACGTCGCAAATTTCGCAATACAAGTATTGAAATTAAGAAATTTAAGCTCTTTCACCCTACTCTTGATATTTTATTACATAAAGGAGAAAATTTTATAGTACAGTATATAAGAAAAATCTTTGAGGTATATATTCTGTACTTATCCTTCTCCATATCCTTTATCCTACGTACAAAATAAAATAGTAGCCTCTTGAAAATAGTATAGGTTTAAAACTGTTCATTTTTTCAACATTCAGCCATGGCCAACAAAATAATAATTTGCTGCAAAAAACTTATTTAAAGATGCATTTAGAAACTCAGCAATTTATTTTTGAGTCGGCGGATTTTGTCTCGCTACCAACGATTTAACCTTAGAAACATTAGAAACAGTGCGTACCTTTTTCATGTATTTTGTTTGGCGTCTTCTTCCCATTTAGAAGTAATGATTGACGGTTGTTCCCATTCTGATAATGTTAACCATAATGTTGCCCATTTTGCATGCACAAACTTTAATACCATGCATTTCACAACATTTTTGAGTTATGGACAAATATTTAGCTTTAGAAGTTACAAAAACATATTCTCCAATCCCTAGCTTGTTTCTATGCGATAAGAAGAATAAAAAAAAAAAAAAAAAAAAAAAAAGATAGTTCTCATTTCATATAATAAGCTGTTGCCAGGAATTTTAATTACAAAGCATTCTCTTTTGTTTTTCTTTATCGAAATCGTTGTAAAAATGTGTAAACACTGTCTCTTACACATTTACACTGTCTGCAATTTCTATAATCAGCTTGATTTATCAAAAACTTTGATTTATCGAAAGGTAGAATAATAGAACTCTGTTTTAATGGGAATGATTTTCTTTCTTTCCTCCCACTCCTTTGTTTTTAGGAATCAATTAGGCAAAAAGAACTAACGCGATTTTGCCTACGTCAGAAAGAAGACTTGCAGAGTTCTTCGGTCGCACTCTTCGTTGGAAACTTGCCACCGAATATGTCCGAGAAACAGTACGAAATGCTGCTGCTTGAAATGCTGGGGAAACGTAAGTTAAAAAAATCTTTGATTTCATTCATATATAATTAGCCCCTTCGCGCCGACTGTCACGTATACGTGCCAGCAACGAAAACACTTACCTACCGGCCGACACGCAGGCGTGCCAGAGGATTGTTCCGTTCTCTACCGACTGTCACGTATTTGTGCCAGTACTTTGGAACGTTTCAAATAAATTTCTGCCACAAGATGAATTGTATGTCCTATGGTTTCAGGTATATGTACATTAGACCTTCTACTAGAAATGGAGAGAAGCATGACTCACATACACGTGTTTTTGATGTTTTGATTATATAAACAAAGGGAAAATAAATGTTTCCGAATGGCGTGATTTATGACGTCTCGTTAAATCGCACTTTATTCGCACGTGGTAGTGGTTACTGTAAGTAGAGAAGTTTTATTGCTCCAAGCGTTGGGTATTTCGGTTTGCAGTTCATTTTTTAGAAAATAATTTGATTCTTGTTAGACGTGAATGCTTTGTTTTTACCGTTGCAATATCGAAGCGTCGAAAATGTTAACAGAGCAGAAATGCAGAAATGATGCAAAATATTTCAGATATTGATTCTGAAATTCGATATTCTGATATTGATTCTGAAAGATTAACTGAAAACCATTTCAAAACTTTGTTCAGAAGAGACTGATAAGAAAATGAGACGACGATGCTTCGTTTGTTCACATTCGGAAAAATCCTCCAAAACGGCAAAGAGTTATTACGAGTGCAGGAAGTAACGTAGGACTGTGTGTAGATCCCTGTTTTCAAATTTTCATACGAAGAGAATTTTAAGTAATATATTTAGTTTTAGATGTATATGTTAAAATTCATAAAATGGTGAGTAATTAAAATAAATGTGTAAAATATGCATTTAAAAAGAAATAAGGTAATTAAAGTAATATATAAAAATATCTATAAAATATAAGCCGTTTAAATACTCTATAGAGCATTATTAAACAATGCGTTGATACTTCGGAAATTTCATGGATTTAGGCTTAATTGCAAAAAAGCCCCTGGCCCTGGAGAGACGCTCGCGTAAGACACTGCCGGCCTCAGCGATAAGCACGCGTTTTCGCTACCCGGCTCGAAGAGGTTAGAGAATTAAGTTGTGTATGTTGCACAGCAGTTGCAAAAGATGAAGGAAATCTGCCAGTAGTAACACTATGCTTCATTTGTACTAATAAAAGGTATATAGAAAGACATATACTTGCAGAACGCTAATTTTGTCAGGGTTTGTAAAAAAAAATTAAATCAAAATTAGGTTTCTCCCAGTAGGAGTTCTACCTTACTTAACTCTGAAGTTACTTTACGAATCGATAGATGGCGCCACTAAGTTTGTTGTTTTTACACACTTTTTTCTTCCGCCAATTTATTCAAATTTGTATGATCAGAATTATTATTATTTAATATTAATATTTTTTTGCGTTTTGAAAAATATTTATTTCTTTTGATATGTTTTATGTAGCGTATAAGAAAACTTTCAGTGTAGAATAAAAGGCTGAGATAGTTTTTTAAAATTCGATTAGCTGGTTTAAATATTTCAAGGAATTACTCAATATTAATATAACTAAAAGTGACTCCCTAACAGTTATGGTATCGATTATATTAAGAATTTCACGCAGATAGTGAATGAAACAGACAAGAAGTAAGACAAAATACACCTGATTTTGTGCTGCCTATTTTCCAGTTGTTTCAAAACCTATTTGCAAACAATTTGCGGTAAGATGATTATTAAAAAATCTGATGTGTACACCACATGACCAGTGTTGCCACAAAATGTTCAGCTAAAGTAGCAAGAGCAGACTCAAAAAGTCGTCACAAATGACGTCAGAGATCACGTGATGTTTGTGACGTCATAGTTACGCATGCTCACATGACCTCTGACGTCATCACAAATTTAATATCTATTAGTTCCCGAAGTTATAGACTGTATTCGATTCTTAGCCGTTTTAATTACGTATCTTAGCTTTAACGAAAAAATTTAAAACTATATTGCTCATTTTCAATTGTTTAAATATCCATTTCTTTTTAAAAGTAATTCTCACTTAATTTAGGTTCTACTTTTAAATTAATTTGTGCATATGCGTTCTTAAGAGATTCCTCACGTTTAGATTGTTAGCGCTCTTTTGTACTAAATTTTTTGAGTTGGCAGTTAATTTGTTTAACTCATTGCTTTTTTGCTTAATTGTGAATATTTTAATTGAGGAATGTTTTTCGGTGAGTTTTCCGTTCTTCCTGGTGGGCTTATTTCAGATTCTGAGTACTTAAGAAAGCCTTCACGGTTAAATTTACTTGTGTTCTTACTTAGAAAAATGACGTTGCTTTGATTTTTAAGTCATTTCCATTCCTTAGTTCTTAGCAATATTATATTTAGGAGAATTAATTTCATTTCTTTCTCTGTTTGGGACGCAAGCTGCAAGTTTTAACAATGCCTTATTTATTTTGTTAGTATAATTTAGCTACTTGTGTATGGCAACAGTAGGAGATATTCAAGTTGGAGAACAATGTAACGACGCGAGGAGCGTCATTGGTCTTTCGTAATAATAAAGTTTGTTTTCGTTGAAACTGATTCTATTGTGTAAATAATCACCGCAGTTATAGGTGTTTTAATGATAGAGACTATCTTTAAATCTATGATGCGAGTCTTTAATTAAAGGCTACTTTGCTGAAGTGTGATTTACGATTTTAAGTACTGAAAGCAGAAAAAAGTTGGTGTTGATGTTTTTTTGTGTTTTTTTTGTTTTTTTTTTTTTGTTTTTGATGTTTTTTTGATGTTTTTTTCTAGTAAGCTTTAACAGCAAGTTCATTTGTTCGATTTGTTATCACCATAAAACTGGACTTAAATCAAAACTGACTTAAAAATAAAACATACGGGAGGCGAGGGGGGAAGGTGAGAGGTTTCCGATGCAGTTTTTTTTCTTTCTTTCCCACTTTTTCCTCCTTCCCCCTTCTTGTTATACCAGGGTCAGGCTGTGCAGCCTTAAAGGAAAGCTCACATGTAAATTGGATTGCTAGATGCCAACTTCTATTTGAGCATAAATAAACTGTTTTTTCTAATGTAAATTATTTTTAATTGATACATTATTTTAACATGGAAGCATTTTACGATATATTAAAAAAACGTTGAAGTCGCAAAATTTCGCAAAATCTCAAATACTAAAATTTCAGTCAAAAGTCGCAAATTTGCGAAAAATCGCACGATTTGGCAACACTGCACATGACTTCTTTGTACGGAATATTAAATTATACGCATTTTTTCTTACATTTCAATTAAACTTATTGGATTGAATAAAATCTACTTCGTCGATAGCGCATAAACCACAAAAGAATAAATGCACTCTTTAAAATTCACTATATTTGGAATTCACTTATTTCCTTGAAAACATTCCAGAAAGGATTAAGCACGATTTAATTCGCAATAATAAATGAACGCGTTATCTTTGTTGTTGCGAAGTTTAGTCTCTCTGGATTGGCAACAAATCTACTATTCTGCTGTTTCAAATGTAAACAAACATGTCCGCCATGTTATTTAAAAATTAGGCTTAACTGCACGTAAACAGCTTTTAAATTGTTGATAATTCTATAAACATTGCTTGCAGATTTCGTAAAGGTATAAAAACCTTAACCGGAAGATAAGAACAACATAATTCAAATATTTTTAAAGCAAAAAATGCACAATTTACAAGCATATAAGAGTAAGGAAACTGAGATCACTGAGCCGGGTGACAGAGTGGATATATATATATATATACGAGGGTAAGTTGAAAAATAAGTTTCCCTGTCGACTGTGGTCAGAGTTGTGTATGAAAGTCAAAAAAATAGAATGAGACATTAAAGTTATGACATACCTTTATTTTTCCACATAGGTATCAAGTACATTGAGACATTTGTCATATCGCTTGATAAGTTTCAAAAAGCCCTCCAGGAAAAATCAGGGCTTTGCATACGGAAGAAGCGTGAACGGCTGGTTTCACTTCAGTATTGCTTCCAAAGCGCCTTCCCCCGAGATTTTCTTCTTCAAAGCCGGACACAGATGGAAGTCGATTGGTGCGAGATCAGGACTGTATGGCGGATGGTGTAGGGAGGTCCCCAAAGAGTTGCAATATGGTTTTGCGTTGCCGTCGCGATTGTGGTCTGGCATTTCATCCAACAGCAGAACGCCAGACGTGAGAAGGCCAGGTCGCTTTTTCCGAATCGCCTCTTTCAATTTCGACAGGGTGTCACAGTAGCGTGTAGCATTGATGGTTCCAACCTCCAAAAAGTCCAGCAACAAAACTCCTTGGGCGTCCCAGAAAACTGTGAGGAGTACTTGACCTGCAGAGGGAGTTGTCTTGAACTTCTTTCGGACAGGTGATGATGGATGTTTCCACTCCATAGATGCGGCCTTCGATTCTGTCGTGAAATGGTGGACCCACGTTTCATCCCCCGTCACAATCCGAAACAGAATGTCATTGCCATCTTCATGGAAACGCACGAGATGTTCCAGGCTGACCCCCATGCGTTGTTCCTTGTGTGTCGAGGTTAATTGTCGGGGCACCCATCGTGCTGACACTTTTCTGTATCGAAGAATGTCGTGGATGATGTTTTGAGCTCGCTCATGTGAGATTCCAAGTTCTTCCGCTACTTCATCGATGGTGATACGCCGGTTCGCTTAATCATGTCAATCCACCTTCCTGACATTTGCATCTGTAGTGGCCGTGCGCGTCCGTCCAGCTCTCGGTATGTCCTCCACTTGCTGACGTCCATCACTGAATGTGCGACACCATCTCCGCACCATTTGCTTCGACATCACACCTGGCCCATAGACTTCCACGAGGCGGTTATGAATTTTGTTCCTGATACTTCCTCCACGTGCCCATTCATAGCGGATAACCGCTCTCACTTCCTCCTTTGACACGAATTCAAAAAACGCACCTTCTCTCCATAACCTACGGGGCTCAAATGAGAGGCTGGTCTCCGCTTTGCGCAGGCACTGCAACAGCGCCATCTGCTTGATTTGCAGCGACCTCTACCCAATGGTGTTCGGTGACTGCGCGTTTTCCTGCTGTGTCGCCTTTCGCCCATAGCCATTCAACGCTTCTTCCATATATGCAAAGCCCTGATTTTTTCCTGGAGGGCTTTTTGAAGCTTATCAAGCGATATGACAAATGTCTCAATGTACTTGGTACCTATGTGGAAAAATAAAGGTATGTCATATCTTTAATGTCTCATTCTATTTTTTGACTTTCATACACAACTCTGACCACAGTCGACAGAGGAAACTTATTTTTCAACTTACCTAAGTATGTTTGGTGCGGCCGATTGCAACCAAAATACGAGATGCACATCTGCATGTTACAGCAGTCCTATATACAAAATTTCAACGTTCTAAGGCTACTCGTTTTTGAGTTATGCGAGATACGTACGTACAGACGCCACGAAAAATTCTCTTTAGAATTCATTTTAAATCAGTTTTATAATTTTTTTGTAGGAAAAGAGTCTTTTATTCTGTCCTTACGTACAGATGTTACGCAAAAACATCGTTAAATTGCATTTGATAGCGGTCAAAATGGATATTTTCGCTGAAATAAACTGCCTGAAACTTTTCGCGATTACAATACTTCCATTTTACTTCGTACAAGAAAATAAAAAAGAGAGAATGAATTTAAGAGAAATGAATTAAACACTGTTGACGCTTAAGAGAAGAGTTATTTAATTTGCTTTTTATTTTAACTTTTTGTAATGTAAACATGGAAAAAATTAATTCCTGTTTTAGAGTAAATTGATAACAAAGATTTGCAAATTCAACGGAAAAATTGCATGTGAAAGAAACGAATAAGAATAAACATTGCTTTCACAAACAAAATAGTCTGAAAAAGATGTGGCGCCATCTAGTATAGAACTGATTAACTAACGAAAGAAATTCGGTAACTCGCCAGTTGGGACAATACCCAAAATTGTTCTTAAACATCTTAAATGGCTAAAAGTTTCTTTAAACAGAAGTATGATGTTTTGTTTCTAAATCAGTTTGGACTTTGTAAGGAATTATCACTTTTCCGTGTACCTTCTCGTGCTGATGAAAATAGCACTTTTCGAGCAAAAAATATCACTAGCGCATTCTAATGTATTTTTAGGAAAACAGCTTCTAATTAAATTGTGGCCAACTTGGCACTATATTTAAATTCGCAACCCAACAAAAGTTGCTCGAAAGACTTCTTTGTTGAGCTCATTTTTTATTGGTCCTATAGTAACTCTTCCACATCGTCATTGTTGATTTTCAAGCACATTTTCAAGCCTACAGACTCAACGCGTCAAAATAGTCAGTCTTTGCTTGTCATACAATCTGTCTTTCATTTCTCCAGACCAAACTGACGGTTCTGTAAATCATTTGCTGTAAGCTTTGTTAATGAGAGTTACATAATGGAAAATATTAAATGATATTTCCAGAAGTCCCTGATTCTGTGACAACGGGTATCTCAGAACTGTGGCAAAGGGTACTTCAGAACGTCTTTGAAAGTCATATTTTGTTGACTTGAGTGTTCGTAATTCGGGATGTTGTTTGCCATCTGAGATGTCTATAGTTTCAATAGAATTTAATTAAAAGATATTCAGTCCTAAAATAATAGTAATGAAGTAAGTCATTGATTTATGTAATTAATTATTATTACATATACTAATGATTTCAGCTATTTAATGATACTTTTAATTACCGGCTTTGTAATTTTTATTTTTTCTTATAATATTCCCTATCATCTGTACAAGTTATTTCATAAAATTCTTCCTGTGTCTATGATCTGAATTTAAATGTCCGTAATTTTTTAACTATTCTGTAGCGTACAAATTCCGAGATCTTGGTCCTATCTATTATGAATATGGATCTCTGATCATCACTTACGATAATGCGGACATCGCAGTCAAGTGTTTTTATATGTTGCGCGAGACGATTTATGATGACAAGAATCTTCTAGTCCTTCTCCTGCCAAATCTCCTGCCCGATATGGTGCCCCGAGGAATCAGGGTAAGTGTAATTAAGTAATAATTAGAATCAGAGTAAGTGTAAGTATCCTTGAGAAAATCTGAGACAAAACTAAATGAAACTGAAACAGGTAGATAAATAACTAGATAAAATTAGAATCAGATAAATAACGAAATGAAATTAGAACCAGATAAATAACGAAATGAAATTAGAACCAGATAAAAAAACTACATAAAAAACTATATAAATTACAATTAGATTTAGATTATAACTAGATTTAGATAAACAAATAGATAAGAACAAGATGAACAGAAGTCCAGAAAGTCCTCTGTTGCGCAGCATTGTTGGTCCGAAAATAACAGTTTCCATTTTTCTGCAGCCAAAATTATTCGAAAAACATCTTCCATTGGTGAACTGGATTTTCTAGAAGCATCTCACATTGAAAAAAATCTCACTGTTCTAGTTAACAACCCTAATTCCAATCCATCTTTGCCTTCAGCCTTTAAGGAAATTATGTTTTAGTTTTCTTGTTTCATCAATAGATGGCGCCAGTAGTTTAACTCCTGTCCAGTCATTCATATCTTATCACTATATCTTATCTGGTTCATTTGCTATTTGGCAGCTGAGGATGATGGTTTGGTAAAACCATGGAAATTAGTCCTGTGAAAAATTGCAAATATAACCCTGATTTTTGTTATGTGACTTCTAAATTAATATCTGATAGCTTAGCTTTCTTTCTACTTCCTGTATCTAAAATCTACAGTGGATGGACAAAATATGGAAACACCTTGTGAAATGCATGTTTGAAAAGAAAAATTGATTTTAATGAAATATGTAGGTGGAGCTGGCGTTTTTGACTACTGACGCCACCTATACAACTTCGTAAATGTGCTAAACAGTTCAGTTGTTGTCGGAGTACTGTTATGTGAGGTTGTCATTGCATTATGTCAGAGTTAACAGACTTCGAACGTGGGCAAATTGTTGGAACACGTATGGTAGGTACTTCCGTAAGCAAGGTAGCCGAGGTGTTTAGTGTTTCAAGAGGTACTGTATCGAAGATTTATTCGCATATTTGAAAAGCGTAAAAACATCATCTGCTAAATCACAGCGCGGACGAAAGTGTGTCCTGAGTGACAGACGATTATTAAGGGCAATTGTGACGAAAAATAAGAAGACCACAGCTGCAAAAGTTACTGCTGAAATGAATGTTGTGTTACCGATCCATGTGAGTACCAAAACAATTAGAAGGGAGCTTCATAAACAGGGAATTGCTGGCCGTGCTTCAATTGAGAAGCCACTCATCAGTGATGCTAATGCCCGTAACAGGAAAAGGTGGTGTTTAAGTCATAAAGCCTGGACTATAGAGCAGTGGAAGCGAGTAATACGGTCTGACGAGTCTTCTTTCACATTGTTTCCCACTTCTGGCCGAGTTTACGTCTGGAGAACGCCATCTCAAGCCTATAATACAGACTGCTTGTTGCCAAGAGTGAAACATGGCGGGGGTTCTGTTATGGTTTGGGCAGCTATATCATGGTTTCTCTGCTAGCCCCATGATAACTGTGTCAAGGGCACATGACTGCCAAGACTTATGTGAACATTTTGGCCGATCAAGTTCGTCCCATGGTACAAACTTTGTTCCCCGATGGTGATGGTGTCTTCCAAGACGACAAAGCCCCTGTTCACACAGCTCACATTGTCCAGGACTGGTTTTCTGAGCACGAGGATGAGTTGTCCCATCTCCTCTGGCCACCACAGTCACCAGACCTGAATATTATCGAACCTTTGTGGTCTACATTGGAACGGAAAGTGCGTTCTCGTTATCCACCGCCAACATCGTTATCTGAACTTGTCACCGTTTTGCAGGAAGAATGGTATAATATTCCCTTCGCAAACATACAGGAACTGTATTTATCCATTCCGAGAAGACTGCAAGCTGTTTTGGATGCCAACGGGTTTCCTACACCATATTAAGCAAAGAAACATGTTTTTTTAAAGGTGTTTCCATATTTTTGTCCAACCCGTGTATATCGCTCTTGTTGTAGTTAAGTCTTACTCCCTAGGCTCCAAATCATTTAAAAATGTTGGAACTGCTGCCTGTGTTGTCTGCTACAGCTTGCAAATTGTTGCTATCATTACCACTGTCATCGTCTTTGTCACCTGTCAGTCCGTCTTCCTACGTGCAATTATCTTCAGAAGCATCCTGAACCTCAAATATCCCTGTATTCATGAAACTCTTTCCCGTTATTGCTTCATTTAATATAAGATTGTGTGTACAAAATCCAAGAGCAAAATCAATTAGTAAGACGAAAGCAATCACGATGCGAATGAATTCATTTTAAAATTTAGTGAATAACGCTTTTAAAGGCCTTGAGAAAAAGGAAACCAAGAAAAATTTTTCAGAGCTTTAACTAAGGGTAAAATACACGCGTAAATACGGTAATTATAATAATTTTCGGAAAAGAGTAAAATCAGATTGAAACGCAAATGTTTTGCAACTTTATATTCATTATGATAAGAGAATAGTGCAAACTTATCTAACCGTCTCTTCTACTGCAATGAAGGGAAAGAAACTTAAAGAATGTTAAATTTTCTGGTTTTTAAGTGCTACTGAATATTGGAAATTTTTGGAAAGACGAAGCAAAAGTATGTGATATGTATATGTTACCGTGAAAGACCCAAATCTAGTGAATGTCGACATTCTCCGGTGAATACCAACATTCACATAGTCGCTTGGTATACGTCCGAAATATTTGCTAAATATCCTTTTTTCTCTCTTAAACCGGCAAATGCCTGATAGTGAATGTGGAATAAAAATATTTTTTGCTAGGTTTTTAAATCATACTTTGTAGGAACCACTTGCTTATCTTCTAAGTGACAACTGTACGTGTAGTACATTCGTGTAAGAACTACACAAGAGAAGGGTTAAAAGTTACCTTTATTAAACTCTTTAAAATTCACAATGCCTCAACTTGACGCTAACACACTGGGCCTCACTCAGGCCGTAACTCAAACCACACGAACTAAAATAAAAATTCAAAAATATTCACAAGTAATAGAAATCACGTTACAAGGCTCAGAAAACTCCTGTTACTTAAAACCGCGTCGAAACTAGTGGCAGCAAATTAAAAGCTGATTTGCCACGTAAACCAGCAATAGCTGCAGGAGTAGAACCTCACGCAACAGAGGTGATGGTATTTGCCTAAACTTTCTAACTTTCCTTCTAAAACTCGGTATTTAAACTTTTTCTCCTCAAGGAAGAATTTGCGTTCCTTCGCGCGCGCTACCAAATTTAAATAGTCTGGCAATGACAATTAGGGAAATGAAAGCTTACAGGAAAGAACGTAAAATTAAATAAAATTGGTTACTTGAAATAAATATAAATCCATGCAACTTTATTAATAAAACGTGTTATGAAATATCCCAAAACAAGAGAAAGCTTAAGTTATAAGGTATTTCTCCCGCCTTCTTAGCGAGCCTTCGTGGTGTGGTGGTCTGTACGCTAGGCGCGTACTCCAGAGGTCCGTGGTTCGATTCCCGGCGAAGACGTTGCTCATTTTTCATCTTGCCTGCTTCCAAAAATACCTAATGTCTCTACAATGGCGCCCGAGCTAAAAGGGTGGTGGATGACGATTCTCCACACTCAGGATTTGGCGATTGGGTCCCTAAAATCCCCAGTCGCCCTTTAAAAAAGAGAGTATATATAAGGTATTTCTCCTGCTTCCCTAGCGTGCCTTCGTTGTGTAGTGGTTCTGCACGCTGGGCCGGTATTCCAGAGGTCCGTGGTTCGATTCCCGGCGAAGGCGATTGCTCATTTTTCATCTCTCTGGCTTCAAAAAATTCCTAATGTCTCTACAAAGCAACAAACACCATATGCAAATAAACTGTCGAACTTAAAACAAGCAGCACATTCTAATTAAATAACACTAATATTAAACTTACTTAAAAAAAAAAAAAAAAAAAAAAAAAAAAAAAAAACAGAAATATGAAAATTTTCAGATTTTATATTGCACCCAAAGAGGGTTTTTTTTTAACGTTTTCTGTGTTACCTTTATTTATTAACTATCATGTCTTCGCACTTAAACCATAAAATTTAATTCAAAAGCAATATCGCAAATAATTTTAATTTTAGCGTATCTTTAGAATTTCCGATACACTGTTTCCGCACGCTGGAGATACCGCCTCCCCCCGTACAGTGTTGCCATTGCTCGCTTTGAAATCGTTGGGTTTCTTAATAAAAAATTCGTTAAAGTGTTACAAAATATGAAATCGATAATAAAACAAATTCCAAATTCGGGCTTCCAGATGCCCATGTTCGGAGGAGAATTACGTTATTCAAAACTAGATGGCTCTAGGTACCGTTGTTTGATCACAATGCGAGAAACATGCATACATTTATGCAGATTCTTCATTATTTAATTTCTTTAAATATAATACAGGGCGATAATATTTGGTGGCAACCTTTTGAAAAGTGATGAAATTAATAGCCCTTCTGAGCTAACGCTCCTTTGGGCTAATAGGGGCCCACCAGCGGCCGAGCGGTAAAATCGTTGAACACTGGTAGTTCGGTCCGAGGTTCGAATCCCGCGAACGGGCTGGCTGCATAGGCGTTTTCGTGGTTTTCCCCATGTGTAACGTGTATACGAGCCAGTTCCCCTTAGAAAGTCCTCCACGAAGGCATCCCTCCCCTTAGGCAGATAGCCCTAGTGTGCTTTGCCGTATTCACAATACACCATACACCACCTTTGGGCTAATAATGTGATTAACGTTATCTCATTTATTGCAGCAACTTAAACTGTTATGACACTTTGAATTGCACAAGAATCCCTTGCTTTTACACCTCTCGGCTTCGTTTCAAACTCCACCAGAGTATATCTATGCTTGTCAACATACACCGATGATGGTTCGAATGAAAAGAATATAACCAAACATTTGGTTTTTTACCGACGTATTTGGTATGTGTTGACATTCGTCGGAGAATGTCGAATTTCTCCAATTTGGGTCTTTCACGGTAACATATATATACATACTCAGCCTAAGATTCAGTTCCAAAATAGCTATGAAATGTAATAATTATTAATATTATATATCCAAAGGGAAATATTAAATAATTAAATTTTACTATTTCAGCCCCTCCTAGTTTTTGTGAACGTGAAGAGCGGAGGATGCCAAGGGATGGAACTAATATCCTCTTTCAGAAGACTACTTAATCCATACCAGGTTTATGACCTCGAAAATGGTGGACCCTTACCGGGGTACGATAACATTTCTCAATATGTGCTTTCCCATTTTTATGTCAAATAGTGGTGTTTATATTTTAAATCACGAAATTCATATTACTACTCATTCATTTGTTAAACTAAGGAGTAACTAAGATTTTGATCTTTACGTTAACTTCTTGTTTCCGTATTCTTCACCAGAACACAGATTAGCTTTAAGTGTATTTAAGTTGAAGGTTTTGGATCTGAGAGAGAGAGAGGGAGTTTTGTAGCACTGTTAGATTTTGACAGCTCTATCTAAATGTAATTAATATGGTAGTGCATTCTTCTGCAGCCGGTTATTTTAAATTTTACGCTTTGGTAAAAGTAGTTGAGCCAGATGATATCTTAGCTTACTGTCTGCGTAGTCTTAGACTATCAACGCTTAATTTGATTAAATTATTATTGATACTGATTGTTATTGATTATCATTGATAAATTATTATGATTGTTATTGATACAATCAGTGACTTATTTGCAGCACAAGTCGTGCCTTTGATGTTAACAGTTCAGTTTAATAAAAGTGCTGTTCAAACTCTCGCCAGTCTCTCATACCGTTTTCAGACTTGGCGATGTTTCACTAGTTTGTCTAGTAAGGTTATAGGACTCAAATTCGAGTATCGCTTTAAATACAACCTTATTTTTTAAATTTATTTATTTATTATACATTTTTGAAACAGCAATTTATTTAAATCAAACTTAGGATGGCATCATTATTACAGTGTGATAATTTCACGGCATTCGGGCCATGTTACGGTTTCATGTTGCTGGCCACGAGAGGGCGCAGCTTTTTTATTTTTATGTGTATTATTTTTTCTTACTGCTTTGCGGATTATTTGATTGAGATGTCGTGGTAAGGACAGAAAATAAGATGAATATTCTTCTGCAAGAAAACGAATAATGTAAATAAAGCTTTAAATAATGTGTGATAAAATGGCAAAAAATTTCAAACATTCTGTGGATTTCATCAAGGAAAGGTAAGCAGAAAGATTTTCTTATCAAATATTAAATGTTGAAGGTAAAAATAGGAAAATACAAATTAGAAACACAGACAATAAGTCAAAAGGATATCTGCATATATAATTAATTATTTACCAAAATTGTGAATTTAAAGTGTTACGGTGCAGCTCAAGTTAAAATGTTACGTTACGTTATATTTTCATATAATTAAACCAAAGCTTGCTGTACTTGATTATTTATTTCACCCCTCTATACGTTGCGATCTATCGTCTAAACAGGAATTAACAAATAAAATAATATACAGCCACTTAAAATGCTATTACGTTTAAAGTTTGTAATTTTTTCTTTTTTACAATACACAGCTAGTAGGCATTTAAAACTACCCTTATGACAATTTTTTTATACAGGTATTAGACCTTTGTAAAAATTCCTGCAGAGCTTTATACGTAATGCTTTATAGAAAACTGTAGAAATTTTATAAAGCTTTCACAGAACAGACATGTACAGAAATGTTGCTTTCCAAAATCAAGTAGAAATTTTAAAAAGCCCTTACAGAAGGAATTCTATAGAAATCTGCAAAGTTTTCCAACTGGAATCAAAGCAAAAATTTTCTGTTTTTGATGTACTATATGGGATACAGAAGTGCAAAAATCAATTCTTTTTATTCATGGGTGTTGAATCGTTCTTGAACGGGAAATTTGTGCGTTTCACCCCCTCTAGCTTATCGTTTTCTAGCTTCTAAATTTATGTAACATTTTGTGCAATTTTGGGGCGAGTATTCCTTACAAAATACAATAATTATATTTTGCAATTTAAATTCTAAAGTTATTTTTAAAAGTTAATGTTATCCTTATAATTATCAAATTTTAATTCCTGAAATGAATGCCTTTAATTATTGTATATATACTCCTGATAAAAGAAATGGTTTCTGAATTTTAATAAAATGTAACTATTATTTAAAGTGCATTTATTTTTATTTAAATATATTTTGAAATAGGAGATAAAAAAAGAAAACGATAGGAGGAAAAAAATCACGTCTTTTCACCAAGTTTTTATCTCCTCTTCCCTATGTCACAGATTACTTTTAAATTTATGTTAAAGAATTCTATACAAAACTGAAAATTTAATTTATTCGTTTTAATCCCAAAAGAAAATATTGTTGAGTTCATTATGCAATTAAATACTCAAAAAGCTTTCATAGGATATGTTATAGAAAATTAAAGCAGGAAACTTGTTTAGAATTATGACCCAATTTTTCAATAAACTGATGCTGAAATTTTCAGTAGAACTTTATGAGTTGATTCTATACGCATTATATATGATTCTGTACGTACAGCATTTGTAAACTGGATGTGTGTTTGTACAGGGTACCCACTAAAGTCCGCTACCGTCCGTTTAAATGCCAAACGGCTACGGATATAGTCATAAAAGTAGTGTGTAGGTATAGTAAAGTTGCTATGCGCTACTTAATGCGATAGCTTTTAGCACCACCTGGTGGGAAACAGCGGAGTTAGCGTCCCTATCTCGAAAACGATATGAGGATAGGAAGAAAAAGTGGTGTACAAAGGTGTAGAGCATCATCGAATTAGTACGAAAAGATACCTCGTGGACATGAATATTACGAGCAGAACGTTTTAAAGGCTATTTGTTTGTTCGCGATTTCCGAAAGTATGACGTCACGAAATGAACTTACAAATAATAATAATAATAATACTAGTTATCACAAGCTACCTTTATTTTTGAGGTTTTAAACTTCTCCCCATCAGCTTAAATGCACATCAAGACCCTTATTACAACTTCATGTTCCACGCTTTAGCATAGCGGATGACACGTTTGCACAAGCATCTGTAATACATCGTTGAAGGAGGAGGGGCATACACCAGTTGCTTCAGGTATTCGCACAGGAAAAAGTCTATTGGAGTCAGGTTCGGGTGAATGTGGAAGCCAATCTTCGAAACCACTATACCCGATTATTCGTTCACCGAATTCCTCCATCAAGTACTGCTTCACTTGCGACGTCATGTTGGAACCATCCATTCAAGAGTTGAAGCAATGGAAGTTTTTGAACAAAATCGGGTGTTATGTCTTGCAGAAGTTCTAAATATTTTGCGGCCGTTAACGTTCCCTGGTCAAATATTGAGCTGATTAGCCTGTTATTATAAATTCCACACCAAACATTAATCGAAACACGGTATTTGATGCCAAACATGATGCATTTTTCATTGCCTGGTAATAGGTGTTCTGCCTATTGTAGATTTCATTCCGCGAAAAGCATGCCTTATCCGTCCACACTATATCTGGCTAAGAATGTTGGCTGGACCTCTATCTGGTTCGTAACCAAATTGCACCATGCGAAACGTCTCTCGGCATCCTCGTTCAGTAATACCTGATTATGTGTTAGTCGGTATAGATGAGCACCTAATTCATTTAGGATTTTCCGAAAGCGACTTTTTGAGAGGCCACAGTTTTCACTTATCTCTTTTGTGCTGTTGTTTGGATATGTGAGGTCGTATGATAAGACATCTTACGGTTGCACTTTCCGCCCTACCTTAGCTGCTCTGGCGGATCGAAGTCGGTTAGTCACGCAGCCTAGCTTCCTTAAACTTTTCATAACCTGTATGAAGGTTCTGTATGAAGGAATCGGGGGCCTACAGGAAAACAACCGCGCTGCCGATCATGCCTTGCACTCACATTCACCGTAAGAACAACCATCTCTTAATAATCATTTTTTGAAAATCGCTCCATGACCATGAGCTTTAACATACGACCACGAGAAGATATCTCTTTTAAGCTGTCTCAGGTGAACAGGTCTGACGTCTTATACACTATTTGCATAATGCACAAATTCGCATACCAAGCTCAAGTTTCGCTGAGTTGATGTGTTTTGCGATACGATTGTTGCACGATCTGTATGTTGTCTACTCTGTTTATAAAGACAATCAGTACAAGAATGCACACCGCGGGATTTGAACCACAGTCCTCTCGACTGTGAATTACAAGCGACATCACTGTGCCGCGATACGGGCATGTTTATCATCCGAAAGATAATCTTTTCTCCTTTCGCTCAAGTTTCGAGACGTCACAGTTTCAGAACTCGTGAAGAAACAAATGTGCGTTTTCAGCGTTCTGTTATTAGCATTCACTTCCACAAGGTGTTTATTCGTACTAAATCGACGATACTCAACCACGCTGTAATTCAGTTTTGCTTCTTATGTTGTATCGTTTTAGAGATGGGAAGGCTAACTCCGCCGTTTTTCACCAGATGCCATTGTAAGCTATCTCATCAAGTAGCGCACAGCCACTTTACTGTACCTACACACTAATTTTATGAATATAGCTGCAGCCGTTCGACAGTTAAACGGGTGGTACTGGACTTTAGTGGGCACTCTGTATAACATCTGCGCAAATCTCTATAGTATATCTATACATAACTTTATAGTAGTTAAATTAAACATTTTTGTAGAATTCTAGAGTAGATTTCTAGTTTTCCAAAATTTGGGCTATAATTTTAAAGAAATCTGAAGGAATTTAACAATGGATTTTTTTTACACAATTCTTGTAAGATTTTATAGAATTCTAGAGAAGATTTCTGATCTAGTTCTCTAAAAATTGGGCCATTAATTCCAAAAAATTCCGAAAGAATTTAACATTGGATTTTTTTTTACAGAATTCTAGTAGGGTATTTTACAATATGATTGATACGTTTCTAATTCTTTTTTCAAGGATCTAAATTATAAGTAATACCACTTTTGACTTTTGATAGTCGAGTATCCAAGTTACTGTTAAGAATATTCCAAATTATTTAAGAATTAAGATTAACAAGTTACGGCAACCGTCTTTCTGTTTCAGGTTATACGTATTCCGTCACATACGAGACTATAAGATCTTGGTTTGTGGTGGCGACGGCACTGTGGGTTGGGTGCTACAGTGCCTAGACAATGTAGGCCAGGATTCCGAATGTCAGTCTCCTCCTTGTGCCATTTTACCTCTAGGAACGGGAAACGACCTAGCTCGAGTGCTGAGGTGGGGGCCAGGTTATACTGGAGGGGAGGAACCTTTAACAATTTTAAAAGACGTCATCGATGCCGAAGAGATAAGACTGGACAGGTATGAAACGCATGTTTGAGATAAAATTTATATTTCAGATGCTTCTATTATATATATATTTATATGCTTCCAATATAGGATGCTTCTATCATATACAGTCAAAAGTCGTTAATTCGGACACCCATAATCCGGACCTCAAAGCTAAAAACTTTCTGCGCATGCGCCGCGTTGGCACATACGCACAGACGTTTTACGCGTGCGCGTAAGACCTTGACTACTGCGCATATGCGTGTGCGCAAGTGCAGAATACGTTTTCGCATGCGCGTTTAATGTATAACGGACGGTGTAAGCTAAAATTATCTAATTATCTATTTCAGTTAATGTTAATGATTGCGTTGTTCCTTAATCTTAGAATTGGATCCCGGCTTATTATTTTTTGCAGACTGTAAGAGCAATTTTATAAAAGTAAACTTGAACTTTCGATTATGTCAAATAGAATTTCCGATGCTGGAACTTCCAAAGGATCTACAAAACGAAAGTATGTTTCGATGTCCAACAAACAAAAAGTGGAATTGCTGCAAAAAATGGATAAGACATCAAGAATGTGACCGAGAGGTTAGTGAAAACGAAAAAATTTCGATTGACAAGTTAGTCGGTATTCTCGGCATAGGCAATTAACGGGACTTGAACAGTGGAACTTGTAACTGAACAAGAAATTATGTATGTTTATAGAATTAAAGAGAAAGTATTATCACATAAAACGAAGCAACTTAAACAACTTACATACATTGAAAGAAATGTTTAATAAAGTAAACAAATAAATATTAGGCTTTTTTTTTTTTTTTTTTTTTTTTTTGTAAATTTTGATACCCTTTACATCATAATTGTTCTTTATTTCATACATTACGGTTTCATATTTTTAATTTTAGAATTTCTGCATGCAATCTTACGAGATTTAAACTGATAATCTATAATCCGGAAAAATCGATAATCCGGAATCGCCGAAGTCCCGACGAGTCCGGATTAACGACTTTTGACTGTATATTTGTTAAATGTTTTGTAATTTCGTATCTTAATTGACATAGAACTCAGGGGAACAAAATAAAAGTATATTGTAAGCATGAATAAATATACAAATAAATTAGATATAGAGATAAGAATGAGCAGTTTTAATTTATTTAATTAAATTTGCATTCTATACTACTGTTTTTATGAATATGTCTATTTTATTGTAAAGATTTCACCAAAAAGCATGTAACAAATATTTGCTTATGAAGAAATAATAATAATAAAAATAATAATAATATAAAAATTTAGAACTTTTTACGCCTTCTAATCTGCCATTTATCTCATTTCCTGGAATTATTTTGATGTTCAGTTGATTTTTTTTTTTGGCATCTCACATTTACTTCATATCATACAATTTGCTTGAATTTTCCGAATTGGGATTCATTAAAAATATAAAACTGTTATCATAATCAATTTTTGAACGATAAATTTAAGAAGAATGTGCTCTTACACTTATTTTTTTTTTAAACGTAAGAATATTTTCAAAGATGATTTCGGTTATTATAGATGAAAAATAAATTAACAATAGTGCTATTTAAAGCTTTAACATGGTGTAAAAATAGTGTATATTCAGTTAATTTTAGAATTAAATACAGTAAAATCTTCCTATGAGGCCATACATAGTTATCTTCTGTAGTGGTGGTCGCTTTAGAGAATATAAATACCAATGACATTAAGTACTCTTTATAATAAAAAGAACGAATGTTAAAGATACTATAACAACAAAAACCATTTCTTAAATTTGCAGGACCATAGTTTCAAAGGTTTAATAGATATTTTTCCTTCAGCTGCAGGAGTGAAAATGACAAAGGGTAAAAGTGCTGTTGCGAAAACAATAGGCAAAAAATTCGCAAAAGCAAGTAAATCTTCTCTCCTTTGATACCGGTTTCCCGAAAAAACATACATTTTCTGAAAGCTTATGTTACAAGTAGAAAATGAAATCTTAGGGGCAGAGGGCTAAGCGTTTGGAAGCTACAGGGCCCACAAAGTATAAAAAAAGTGATGGGAAAATGTCACTAAAAGTCGCTAAAATGCTCGTTTCACGTGTTTATAAGAACTAATAATATGGTAAGAAGGTGAGGGTCTAAATATAAAGGAAGAAACAATTCGTTTGAAAAGAAACATGTGACCTTGTTATTGACTTCAAACATATTCTATACAAAAGACAATCCATGTGCAATTCATCAAATAAACAGTGAGACAGGCAGAAAGACAGTTCACAATGGGCCAAAGAGATAGTCTCACACTTTGCACACTCATTATTTGTCAATGAATCGAAGCAGTAATTCATTGGCTCAATCCACATTCCAGATTCGTCGTCCAAGTATCTGCTCCTATAAAAAGCATACTTAATCAAGTTCTTAAAACGAGGAGCGCTGAATTGATATAGTGAAAAGGACTGCAGGGCCATAAAATTATCGTGATACCAAATGTGCTCCTGTGCCTCGCTAATGATTGTGGCCGTTATGTAACGAACAAAAGATTTGTAGTGTATGAAAAAATGAATATCTAGAGACTGGATCTTTTCCGTAAATCCTTCAGGTACCAGTTCTTTTTGTAGGACTTTACCATCAAGTACTTCGGAAGCAGACAACGCATGAACATGGGAGAAATACAGACGCCATTACGGAAATATGTCCATCGACTATATACACTTCACCAGTGGCGTAGCTAGGGTGGGACAAGGGGGACCTCTGTCCCCGAGCTCAGCATCCAAGGGGCGCCAAGCTGATGTGATGAAATTGCAGAATAAAATATTTTACATTCTTGGCACACAAAAAAAGAGCGCAAAAATTTCAGTTGTCCCCGGGCTCTGAATACCCTAGCTACGCCTCTGCACTTCACTGATACTTTGTGGGTTCTATAGCTTCTAAACCCTCTACCCCTAGACTTCACAGTTTTTCTACTTGTGATATAAGCTTTCAGAAAATATAAGGGTTTCCCGAAAACCGGTATCAGAGGAGAGAAGGTTTACTTGTTAGTTAAAAAGAGGAAAAAGTCCCTGGCGCCATCTGGTGGCAAGAAGTGAAACAAACTACGAAGTAATCTCTTTAAAAGTTGAAGGTAAGAATGGATTATTTGAGATTATTAACTAGAACTCGAAGATTTTTATGAACGTAAAACGCCTCTCAAGAAATCGAATTCACCACCTGAAGATGTTTTTACTTTCTTTTACAAGGAAGGAAGTATTGTAATTGCGAAAATTTTCAAGTGTCATATTTCAACGGAAATAGCCATTTCGACCACTTTCGAATCCATCTGAACGATGTTTTTGCTTGAATCTGTACGTATGAACAGAATAAAAGACTTTTTTTTTTTTTTCCAAAACGGATTGTAGAATGAATTTAAAATGGACGGATTGTAAAATGTAATAAACATTATTGAATATTATGAATTACACTGCAAAATGTAAAACGAATGAATATAAAATATATAAAAATGTAAAACGAATTTGCTTTAAAGGTGATTGGATTATGTTGTTTCTATGTGCCAGTTAAGGTTTTTTATGCCTTTAGTTAATCTGCATGCAATAACTGTAGGATTATGAACAACTTAAAAGTTTTAGTGGAGTTAACTCAGACGAGGCCATCATTTGCGTATATTTGAAACTTTTAGTAGAATAGTGAATTAAGTTAGTTTGTGCACCAAACTTCAGTGTCTTTTTACTTCCTTGTACGAAGTAAAAAGGAAGTATTGTAATCGCGAAAAGCTTCAGGCAGCATATTTCAACGAAAATATCCACTTTGACCGCTTTCGAATGCAATTTAACGATGCCTTTGCGTGATATCTATACGTAAGAACAGAATAAAAGACTCTTTTCCTCAAAAAAAAAAAAAAAAAAAAAAAAAAAAAAAAAAAAAAAAAAAACTGCCTTAAAATGAATTCTGAAGAGAATTTTTCGTGGCGTCTGTACGAACGTATGTACGTACGTACGTATCTTGCATAACTCAAAAACGAGTAGCCTCAGAACGTTGAAATTTTGTATAGAAGACTACTATAACATGTAGATGTGCACCTCGTATTTTGGTTTCAATCGGCCGCGCCAAACGTATATAATATATTTATAAATATCCACTCTGTTACCCGGCTCAGTGATCTCAGTTTCTTTACTCTTATATGTTTGTAAATTGTACATTTTTTGCTTTAAAATGATTGAATTATGTTGTTTTTATCTTCCGGTTAAAGTTTTTATGCCTTTCGTAATTCTGGAAGCAATATTTGTACAATTATCAACAATTTAAAAGCTGTTTAAGGGCGGTTACGTTTTAAATAACATGGCGGACATATTTGTTTACATTTGAAACAGCAGAATTGTAGATTTGTTGCCAATCTAGAGAGACTAAGCTTCGCAACACAAAAATAACGCCTTCGTTTATTATTGCGAATTCATGAGAAATTAAAGGAGACGAAATTAACTAACGAGTTGTGCGTAGTACATCTCATCAGGTAGGTTTACCCAAACTCCTATGCTAAATAACCTTTCGCGTAAAGTGTTTAAAATTTTGCCCGATTTTATTCCGACATTGTATTTTAAACTGAATTTTCAGCTGAACGCAAATTGAGCGTGTCAGGGGGAACGTGAACATTTGTTTGTATTAGCAACCATGTGTTTATAATCAATTTATAATATCTAGAACAGCGGTCATTTCGTATGACCGCCGGGCTTTCTAGTTTTTAATAAAAAAAAAAAAAAAATTCTGATTTTTTTTTTGAAGATATGCCTAGAAATACATCTATTTTAAGATGACAGCAAACATTTATTAGTTTATAATTTAAATTTTTTTCGAAAAATTTATAAAAGTTACTATAAAATACAAATTTTTAAAAATAAATCAAAAAATATCTGCGAATTTTATTTGGGCTGAATCTAAATTTCGAATTGTGAAAGAAGGAATCAAGTAAGTTTTATAAAAAGAGAGATATTGATAAATATATACCAAATTCAATTAACATTGAGGAACTGAAATTTTAGAGCTCATTTTTTAAAAACTACTCGCGCGAGTTTTACAAAACTTGCTTTTGTGGCATAATGTGAGTTTTAGAATCGAAAATAAATAAATAAATAAATCGGAATGTTATTTTAGAAAATTTGACTTTTTTGACAGAATACCTATATTTGGACAATTGCTATATGTAAATCTAACATATATCCTAAGCCGCGCTTTCGAGTCATGGTAAACGTAAGTTAAATTTCGTCAATCGGCCCAGTAGAACAAAAGATATAGAAATATAGAACTGTTCCATTTTTATTTTATTTATTTATTTATTTTTTTTTTTTTTGGTGCATGGTGTGTATCTAGTGCTCTCATCGCTATATCATTCGGAGATGTTAGTAGTTCCAGTATAAATATATGTAATTAATTAAAAATGATGCAAACAAATTAAAGTATATATTTAAAGGAATTATGCAAAATTTTGTCACATAGAATAAAATGTTCTGCTTTAACTACTTATTATGTTTTTGCTCTTTTACTTCTTATACACTGAATGAATTTGGTTTTAACAGCAGCCACTATAATAAGCTTCAACTATTGCCGACAATAGATTGCAGTAGTTATTATTTCTGACGAACAAATTTTATTACTGAATTAGAGATAAGTGATTAATGAAATGTTTAACCTATTAAGGTGGACGGTTGTGTTCCATGTGGATGAGAAAGGAGACGACAAATCCGGACCCAACACATCTAGTTCTGAAGACAACACCGCAATCTTTGTGATGAACAATTATTTCGGTATTGGAATCGACGCATCTCTGTGTTTGGATTTTCACAACGCAAGAGAAGAAAATCCCAACAAATTTAACAGCAGGTATAGCCATTCATAATGTTTTAACACTCAAAAGAGAAATAAGGAAATAATTTTTGCCCTTATCACTGTATTATTAGATAACGAAGGATCTGTATGTACCTTTCTTCCTGGCATTGTGAGAAAATGGCGGCAACTAGAACCACCTAATTCTGAACATATATTATTTTCCACCCAAAACAAATACGTCCACCTCGAAAAACGAAATTTATTTCATATTTTGTGTCAGTGAATTTTGATAACAAACAAGGCGACTTAAAAGCAATGCGTTGCCACTCGGCAAAGTATAAAATATTGATGTTTCAAATTTAATTAAAAAAAAAAAAAAAACTCAGCAATTTCAAAGAAATGTGTTGCCACTCGGCAAAGCGTAAGATATTTGTCTTTCGAATTCAATAAAAAACCTCAGCAGTTTAAAAAAAGAAGGGAAAAAAACTGAAAGGGTTTCAGATTTCAACGGTTCCAGAAGGGTTTTATTTTAAGGTTTTTTACGCTCTCGATGAGCTCGCAGTCTACTAGTCTGCTCTACCATTCACTCCTGCTCACTATTTTTAGCCCAGAAGGGCTATTAGTCTCGAAACGGCATATTGTGGCATTTCACTATAGACGGCGAATCAGTTTTAAATTATTGGCATCAAATATTATCACCCTGTATCATATTTAAAGAAATTAAATAATGAAGAATCTGCATGAATGTATTATATTTCTCGCATTGAGAAAGAAACGACGGTGCCTAAAGCCATCAATTCTGAATAACGTGATCCTCCACCCGCACACTGGCATCTGGAAGCCCGAATTTTGAATTTGTTTTATTATCTATTTCATATTTGGTAAAGAATTTTTGATTAACAAACTTAAAGATTTCAAAGCCCGAATTTTGAATTTGTTTTATCAATTGTTTCATACTTTGTAATACTGTAACGAATTTTTTATTAAAAAACTCAATGATTTCGAAGAGAGCAATGGCAACACTGTACGGGAAAAAAAAAAATTATCTCCAGCGCGCGAGACTGTCTACCGGAAATTCTAAAAATAAGCTGTTTTTAAATATTTTGCAACATTGCTGTTGAATTGAGTTTTATGTGGTTTAAGTGCGAAGAACATGATATTCAGTAAATAGAGGGAACACACAAAACGTTAAAAAGTCCCTTTGGACGTAATATACATTTTGAAAAAGCTTTCGGATTTTTTTCCCCGCGTCTTTTACCTTTATTATTAACCATCGTTCTCTTTGCGCTTGCGTCATATACAGTTAAGCAACAAAATCATAAAATTTTTTAACCCCCATAGCAGCATATGTTTAGAATTCCCGATTAGTTGACATATACTTTCATATTTCTTTCAGTCCTTCCTCAGTTCATCAGATCTATATTCAGTTTTCTTAGTAAGATGTGTAACAAATTTTTATTTGTCTTTTTATTATTAGCATTTTATGTGTTAACTTTATTTATTAAATATCGCGTTCTTCGCTCTTTACACCACACAAAATTCAGTTCAACAGCAATATCGCAAAACAACTTTAAAATGAGCTTCTTATCTTTAGAATTTTCGATACAGTCTCAAGCCCTGGAGATAAAAAAAATTTTATTCCGTAGTGTTGCCAATGGTCGCTTTGAAATCGTCGAGATCATTAACCAAAAATTCTTTAAAGTTTTTTTAAAAATGAAATAGATAATAAAAACATTCGAAACCCATGTTCGTGGGAAGAATTAAGTTATTCAAAATTATAGCGCGAGAAACATGCATGCATTTCTGCAGATTCTCCATTATTTAATTTCTTTAAACATACTACAGGGCGATAATATCTGGTGGCAACAATTACAAAAATGATACAAGGCATCTAAGTGTTTCCACGCAAAATGCCGTTCCGTGACTATAGTCCTAAATGGAATATTAGTTAAATGTCAGCAGATATTTATGAAAATTACACATATTAAATTATTATTAAAATAAATTACACAGACACAGAAGTGTCTCGGTGGAAAAATCAGAAAACAAATAAAGGGAAGAACTATCTATAGCGTAAATTGTAAAACAGTTTTGTATTCTCACTTCTATTCATAAATTTTTCATGCTCTTGCAGGTTTCACAATAAAGGCGTTTACGTAAAAATGGGTTTACGGAAGATGGTGAGTCGTCGCACATGGAGGGATTTCCACAAGGAAGTTCGATTGGAGGTGGATAACAAAGTCATAGACCTACCTCCTGTGGAGGGCATTATAATTCTCAATATTCTCAGGTAACGTTTATTTATTGACCTACAAAACGATACTTTGTTGTGCATTAGGTATATCCACCCGGCCTTTATTTTCGCGGCTGTTAGATGTAGACATGTACTTCTTGCAACAAAAATGTTTTAAACGATGACAATTTTCAAGTTTTGGTAATTTTAGATTAAAAAAAAAGTCAGCTATGTAAACATTTTATACGATTCCCCGTCCCTAATCCTTATATCTAGAAAAAAATTTATTCTCATAGTAAAAAATAACATGTAAAAAATATGACAGTCGCACGATAAAAATGGACTAAGATACTTCATTTTAAAGTCGGACATCATATTTAAGGGGTGTACATAAATTGAAGAGTGAAATGTTTCCATTTGTACATGATTAAAAATAAAAGTTGTGATTTAGAAAAAGTTTCAGTTGTTAATTGACGAGCATTTCTATCCAGATTATTGCGAAAATTATTATATTATTACATACTTATAAATTGTATTATATTATAATACAATTTTTACTTCCTTGTACGAAGTAAAAAGGAAGTATTGTAATCGCGAAAAGTTTCAGGCAACATAAACGAAAATATCCATTTTGACCGCTATCGAATGCAATTTAACGATATTTTTGCGTGATATCTGTACGTAAGGACAGAATAAAAGACTCTTACTGTTTTCGTCCAAAAAAATTATAAAACTGCTTTAAAATTAATTCTGAAGAGAATTTTTCGTGGCGTCTGTACGAACGTATGTACCTACGTGCGTGCGTACGTACGTATCTCGCATAACTCAAAAACGAGTAGCCTCAGAACGTTGAAATTTTGTATATAGGACAAAATGAAAATGGAATACAGATATCCCTTACTTTAATATAGTTTCTTTTGTGCCATTTTACGAATTTTATTTATTTGTACGAATGATTCGAAATAGAAACTATTCAACAGACAATAATGGCGCGACGTATCTAACAAAGTTCTGCAATAAATCTAAATTTCTGAATGTGTGATTCAGCAGTATTTCTAGCTAAATCAACATTCAATCTAGTTTAAAAGGGAATGCCAACAAATTAATCTCGTCTAGAATCCATCTAACAATACATCCGCAGCATTCAGGCTGCACCAAACAAATCGAAAGTTCCAAAGTTCACACTGTTGCCACTTAGGGTTCCCTAAATCAATGCGCTTTTACCACAAATATACACTGTTGGCCATCCAAATTGCAACACCAAGAAAGACAAGAGATATCACAACAAAATTTATTTAGTAGATAACATGTTGACCAAGTATCAAATGATTAAATTTATAGACTTCTGTGAAGTGTGGTTCCTTCCAGAATCAGTAGCAGAGTAGCCGCCATTGTTGGAGATCAGCGCTGCCACACGCCTCGGCATTGATTCAAAGAGACTTTGGATGTGCTCTTGGGGTACAGCAGACCAAGCAGCTTTGACACGTTGCTAAAGTTGATCTGGTGTGGCAGCTTGGGATGTAATCTGGGTCAATCGTTCAGCAACCATGGACCACATGTTTTCTATCGGCGAAAGATCCGAAGAGCGAGCCGGCCAGGGAAGCAATTCAATCTGGCGATTGACGAAGAACCCTTGGACAATATGTGTGCCATGTGTGGTCGCGGATTATCCTGTTGAAATATGGCTGTGGGCAAGCCGTAAAGGTAAGGAAGGACAATTGGCTCAGATGTAGCGCTGGCTGTTTAAAGTACCGGCAATGCGTACTACAAGAGTGCGAAAGTGATATCCAATACCGCCCCATACCATAATACCTGGTGCAGGACCAGTGTGGCGGTGCATAACGCAGCTGTTCAGCATCCTCTCTCCACGGTGTCTCCAGACTCGAATCCGACCATCGTGGTGTTGCAGACAGAAGCGTGACTGGTCAGTAAAGACAATTTTATTCCATTCTGCCGTCCACATCCTTCTTTCATCGCACCATTGGAGGCGGAGACGTCTGTGGTTCTGCGTCAAGGGTAGACGAAACAATGGACGTCTTGCGGACAGACCACTCTGCTGTAAACAGAGTCGAATGGTACGCGCAGACACTGGATGATGCGTTACACACTGAATGTGCTGTGCTATGGTTCGTGATGTGATTGAGCGATCCGTCACTGCCATGCGCACAATGTTCCTGTCATCACGTGAAGTGATGCACTGAGGTGGATGCGATCGAACACGTCGGTCCGTCGTACCCTCCTGCATCCAACGGTCACATAACCGCCGGGGAAAAAAAAAAAAAAAAAAAAAAAAAAAAAAAAAAAAAAAAACACAATTGCCGAACTTGAAATCGTCTAAAGCTCCAAGCCTTAAATAGCGCTTTGAAGTGGCGCCACAGGCGCGCGTGATGTGCGTCTGCGCTGAAATTCAAATCATTTGCATAGCTCACCTCCGCTAATGCATGTTGTAAATTTCATGTTATTTGCAGGTTTCCTTCAGGGTGTTGCATTTTCGTTGGCCAGCAGTGTAGTAATAATAATGTTTAGATATTTACAATGTGAAATTTTAATATTTGACTCATAATGAGGAGAAAAAAGCGTAAAATATCATTAATATTTTTCATGACACATTAAATTATCATTAATGAAACTTTTGTTCATGATAATTTCTTATGAAAACATATTCCGTTTTCTTTTTAAAAATGGTGGGTATAACTGTAAGCAACGCAAGACTTCAACGGGGAAGAAACTAGCATAAATAGAAAATAATACCATGTTTCATTGTTTCACGTGAAATAATTGAAAATAATGATTATACTACAAGCACCATAAATCGCAGATTAAACCTATTATCAGAGTACTTCTTGCCACTCTCATGACTGATTCCACAGACGTTTATTGGAATCAAAAAATATATGTTCGGAGAGGGTAACAATCTCTATCTATTAGTATTACTATAGCTATGGCTTCTACTAAGTGTCGTGTTGCCTTTCAGAGGCAGATAAAAGTGTCTATTCAAACCAGAACAGGAACTTTTCCGATTAATATTATATGAAAAAAAAATGAATGAAAGAAATATGAAAAGAAAAAGTTATTATTTACGGTGAGCGAAAAAAAATCTGAAAACCAAAAATAACCTGAACCTTTTTTTAGTGCAGTGATTGTAAAAAAACAGTTAGATTTTATCCACCAAAGGGCCTTCAGATTGAAAAGCATAACTTTAAACGTCAAAGGAACGGAGCAATTTCCAAGAATATTTTGAATGCTGGTGAAAGATTCTACGCGAGAGGGGGTAAATGTGTCAATCAAAGCATCGAGGATACAGTAGTATCTGATGTATTTCTCAATTCCTCATCGAGTTCAGCAGATAATAAACCTTGGCTTTTGAGACTGGATCTGGTACACATATATATATATAATATAAGCATAATTACCTGATGGAATATATAATATAAGCATAATTACCTGATGATATAAATGATGATGAGAGATTAATGGATGATTTTCGCCCACACAGTCTCCTATTTCTCCATCTACCAAATCTCCCAAGAAAATATTTTAACAGACCATTAAAATTCAGCCGCTCTAAGCCTTTTCATTTTGTATTTCTGAAAGCTGAGAAAAACTTCGGAAGCTCTATGTTAGTGTAATGCATATCATTTCTAATTTATCATATCATCCTTACTCTTAGTATTATTTTAGTTTTTATGTGCTGTTTGGTACGATGAGATAGTTTATCAAGCACTGGAGGTTTCAAAAATGTTTTAATCAATTTATGGTCTTCCTTTGCTTTGCGATATTTCAGCTATGGTATAAAACATACCTGTACAACTTATTTACTTCTTATCCATTAACTCCTTTGCTGTAAACTGCAAACTGTGGTTTGAAACATGAGACGAAGAGGATAAAACAAACTAAAGCAAAAATTATTTGGTAAAATGACAATAACCTCACAGTCTCTACTGAAAATTGCAAAGTTTCATATCAGTTTCATATTGTGAGGCAATTAAATAACTGGCAAAATGACGTCCTTTTTGAAAACATTCATAACATTTTAATTAAATTTAATTACCTGTTTATTTTCATTTTCATTTTTTTCTCTTCTTTGCAGTGTTATTGTTCTTTTCATTTATTTATTTTGTTAGTGCTTGTGCAAGCTTCATGGAACAAGAAGGGATGGAGCTAGAATTAAAAAATCTGATATGTACACCACATGACTTCCTTGTACGGAATATTAAATTATACGCATTTTTTCTTGCATTACATTTAAACTTATTCGATTGAATTAAACCTACTTCGCCGACAGCGCATAAACCACAATAGAATAAATGCATTCCTTAAAATTCACTTTGTTTACCATAGCGACACTCTGGCGCTAGGTTCACTTAACAGTATTATATTTCGTTCATATTATAACTCAGAATGCACAAAAATTTATATCATTTAAAGAATTATCTAATCGTTGCCACATGTTCTATTCAAATACTATAATACAGCTAGAACGATGTATAAAACAAATTAAGCAAACAAAACAAAAAAAGAAACAGTTTTTCACAGACAATTGAGTATTTCTCATTCAATTAATTCAGTTTTCACTCCGCGACAAGGCAAAAATACATAAACTCAAAATATCTGCATTAAAAATTACGAAGTAAATCTGAAACGCTTATTTCCTCGAAAAAATTCCAGAAAGGATTAAGCATGATTTAAATAATAAATGAAGGCGTTATCTTTGTTGTTGCGAAGCTACGTTTCTCTAGATTGGCAACAAATCCGCTATCCTGCTGTTTCAAATGTAAACAAGAGCAATGGCCGCCATCAAAAACATTATTAGGCTTAGCAGCAATTAAACAATTTTAAAATTGTTGATAATTCTAAAAATATTGCATACAGATATACTAAAGGCATAAAAACCTTAACCGGAAGATAAGAACAACATAATTCAATCATTCTTAAAGCAAAAAATGTACAATTTACAAACATATAAGAGTGAAGAAACTGAGATTACTGAGCCGGGTAACGGAGTGGATATATATATATATAAATATATTTATATACGTTTGGCGTGGCCCATTGCAACCAAAATACGAGGTGCACATCTACATGTTATAGCAGTCCTATATACAAAATTTCAACGTTCTGAGGCTACTCGTTTTTGAGTTATGCGAGATACGAACGTATACGTTCGTACAGACGCCACGAAAAATTCTCTTCAGAATTCATTTTAAACCAGTTTTATAATTTTTTTGGAGGGAAAGAGTGTTCTATTCTGTCCTTACGTACATATATCACGGAAATACATCGTTAAATTGCACTTGAAAGAGGCCAAAATGGGATATTTTCGTTGAATTATGCTGCCTGAAACTTTTCGCGATTACAATACTTCCTAATCATAATGGTATAAACATATTAATTTCGGATCCTTTCCAATAAAGAGAGAAACGCGATAAAGTCAACATTTTATAAAATAAATAAATAAATATAATAAAAAAATTATGTTTTCTGTTCAAACGTAAGTAATTACTCACAAATTAAAAACAAGAAGTTACTTTTTAGTTACTTCTTGCCTTTAATTTATGAGTAACTACTTACGTAAACCGAACTTTCATTATTTTATATTGCAGCTGGGGCTCTGGTGCAAATCCTTGGGGTCCCGAAAAAGAAGATCAATTCGCAAAGCCTACTCACTATGACGGAATGTTAGAAGTCGTTGGCGTTACAGGCGTCGTCCACATGGGACAAATTCAAAGTGGTCTGAGAAGCGCCATTCGTATCGCACAAGGAGGACATGTAAGTAACTTTCTGATTTTGAATAAAAGTCGACGAATCATCCATTTTCACTTCGTTGTCGGAATGCATACATGAATAAAATTCATCCAATTTTAGCCTAGCTTTTCATTTATCTTAAAATTTCAGCTTTTTGTGTTGAAGAGAGAAAATGAAAAACTATTCTCTACCAAGTGATCTAAATAAATGAAAAACTGCCAGACCTTATCATAATTACCAGCCTACAAAGGCTGATTTAAAATTTGTAGGTATAAGCACTGGTCCTTTGAAATGACACTCACAATATACGATCTATTTATTAGCTACAGCCATGTTCGTATATATAAAGCGAAAGTATGTCCATTTCCTTCAAGAACCTTTTGCTCTTACGATCGAAATGAAATGGTCAGGCACCATCACACGTATTACTCACATATTTCGTGGAGAATATTCCACGAAAGTATTCTGAATCATTACCAGAGAAATTTTGCCCAAGATCATCATATCACATGCATTCTTCCTCACCTGCAATACCTCCCTCTTTAAGAGCCATGTAACAGCCATTAACAGCCAAGCAATTAGGCCGCCATATAGCGTTTGTATAAGACATATTGTTTATAAACATATTGTTAAATATAATAATAGTGACTTCAAGAGCAAATATAAGCCTCCGCAGGCTCAGAAAAGCGTCAAGCATATACTTACTGTTGGAATACTGCTGTTTGTCAATCTTATTCAACGTTTTAATTTTCATTTTTTAATCAGATACCCTAATTTATATTGAATGGATATGATATTGAATGAACCGTGATATTGCTTTTGAAAAGTCACGTGCATTAATTACTAGTAAATGAGAAGACAATTGTTTTTATTTTTCTTCCTCTTTTGACATATATCACAATATGTTTTAATAGTAAAGTATGATTTAAAAACATAGCAAAAATATTTTTATTCAACATTCACCATCAGTGTATGGTGAATGTCGACATTTGCCGCGTACTGATGGCAAATATCGAAGAGGAAATATGAGGAATAAGGATACTTGGAAAATATTTCGGACATACACCAAGCGATTATGTGAATGCTGACATTCTCCAGATTTTGATCTTTCACGAGTACATGTACAAAATTAGCTACTAGAATTACTTAAAAAGTCAGGTCCAGTGGTTAGAAAACTGGATTTTTCTTTTATATAATTATATAAGAAAATTCATACAAATGTTTTTAGAATTCTAAACAAGTTTTCTTGTTTTATTTATTTATTTTTTTTTTCTTACAAACATTTTACAGAAGCTTTAGAGAATTTAAAACCATTATTAAATCATCAGTATTTATTCGAGGATTAAAAAGAATGAATTCAGTTTTCGCTTTCGAATAGAATTCTTTTAAATTTTGAAATGGGACAGAGAAGGGAAGAGGAGAATACAAACTTTCGGAATAGATTTTATTCTTTTCATTAAAAAATATATATATATTATATTGGTTTTGGTTTTAAAAATATTTATGTAAAAATAAAGGTTTATTCTAGAAGACGGTACACACGGGATTTGATGACATTATGATGATCGGTTAACGTGATATTTATGAGCAGTAAACGAGTCATTTTGGTGTTGGCGACAGTTTTCAAAAATAGCGCCAAGCCGTACCGTATACTAGGACGTTACCAAAATATTTATTTTATTTATTTCAGTTCGCCTTATCAGAGGCTAAATATACAATAATAAACAACTTAATTTCAGGAATTAAAGTTTTATAACTTGTAGGGTTTTACTTTTATTTCACTTATTTGTATTTTTAAAACAGCTTTCCATTACTTTAAGAACTCATTTTCCTACCTAAGCTTTCTCACCAGAATAAGTTTTCAATTTTATGCTTTATGCAAAATAGGGGAGAAACTACTATTTATGCCAAGGTCTTAGAAAGACAGACTGTTCTGCCTTTCCGCAACATTGTTGTATCAGTTAAAGCTTGCTAGTTTATGGCCGTGATTATTACATGCATATTTGTCTACGCCTATGATTTTCAAATAAGAGACAACTACGCAGTTACAACTCTGTGCAGCTTAGGCTGTTTAATCTACTTCGTTTAATTTTGTATTTTAAGTTCAAGCCAAAAGTGTTGGCCTCCTGTACGCCCTGTACACTCAATATTTTGAGTTCAAATAAAAGGGTATTTTAACTCTTCTTCGGAGTTTTATTTATAATTCAACACTTATGAAATAGGCGAATAGTCGCTACTCAGTTCTACTAGGTTTTAACAGCTAAAGAACTTTACTTCAGCTAGAACATAACAGCATAAAGCTAACGTTTTGATTAATTTTGATTAAATCGAATGTTTCGATTCATTTTAATTTATGATTTAAATCGATTTTACCTTTTACAAGATTTAACTTTTGCATAAACAATACTGGGCCAAATATTGAAAAAAATGTTACATAAATTTAGAAATTAAAATATTAAGCTAGAGGGGAAAAGGCAAATATTTCCATTCAAAAATAATTCAACACTTATGAATAAAAAGTATTCATTTTTACTCTTCTCTATTCCACATAATACAACAGAAACTGAAACTTTCTTTGATTACAATTTGAAATCTTTCTAGATTTCTTCAGAAAATCATATTATAAAGACTTTATAAAATTTCTATAGAATTCTTTACTATGAAAGCTTTATAAAATTTTTAGAGAATTTTACAGAGAAACATTTCGATAAAAGTCTACCTATAAACTTCGATAGTCTCTATAAAATCTATATACGTATGTATATAAATAATTACAAAACAATTCTTTTGAAAAAAAAATATAAACATGCCTAGTATTTTCGCGCATTAAGCTGCAGAAAGATTATCATTAAAGACATAAAGTAAGAAATTTAAAACTGATTTTTCAGAAAGACCAAATATTGAAATTCATAATTAATAAATTTCAAATAATCTTATAAATGAAACAAAGAATTTTAAAAATGTTAAAACCAAAACTATTTCGAACAAACAAAACCCCATTTCAAAAAAATAATGAAATTTAAAGAAATATGAACAAAAGCAGAAGAGGAATTCAATCAACTTCAATGCTATGTACTTCGTCAGGAGGAAAGGAACATTGAAATCAATTGAAATCCCTCTTCTACGAAAATCCTTGCCTTTTTGTATTCAGAATTAGCCGATGAACCATTTCAATGTACTTTAATTATAATAGTTCACCCGAAAATTCTGGCCCTTCTTCAAAGCAAGGAAAAAACAAAATAAATTCTAATTAGAATAAACTTAAATAAAGAGAATTCTATTTTATTAAAAGAATTGAAAACGGAAGTGAAAAAACAAAATTCGTATTTTTTCGTATGATTTCTAAGAATAACTTATTTATTATTATTTTTTTCATGCATAGTTACGCATCAAACTTCATACAGAAATGCCCGTCCAAGTAGACGGTGAACCTTGGATTCAAAGTTCAGGTGAAGTCGTCGTCCTCAGATCCGCACTCAAGGTAAATAATTTATTCCGTCTTATATCCCAACTAGTAAATCCTTTTTAGTGTTAACCCGTCCTGATTATTGCACCTTGATCTATATCAGAAGCGTATGGATATTATGCATGATGTTACTTTTTTATAACTGAAAAAACTCACAACTATTTGCATATAATACATTCTCTCACTGAGAAGTTATTTTATTTTTAATATTTTTAGCGCACAATGTTTGCATTGATGATTCTTGACAATTTATGCAGCATTGCCTTTTCATATCAGCCTATTTTATTCCAAATCACCGATAATATGCATTATGTTAATGGTTGCATGTAAAAAGTCGTTACATATGTATTCGACTGAATAACGTGCTTTTGTTATTGCTTGAAATAATTACCACTTTCATACTTACTGTGATAACTGCACAATTTTTGAATTTTCATTTTCATTTCTTACATAAGACGAAAATTAAACCTTCTGTGAAACAGGGAAGCATTTCTACAACATATTATTAGAAAGACGATATTATTTTTACTACGCCATCGTTCTTCAAATTCTATTAACTTTCAGAAAACTGAACTAGCAGCAGTTTAATTTTTTGCAAGCGATAATTATTTAACCAATGAGAAATTGAGGTTACAAGAGAGCAATGAAAGGGGGAAAAAGCGAAGTATTTATTTTACATTTATCGCTAAAGTGGCGATTTTGACGATGTTTATTGATTGAATAATAAAATCTAGGAATTAACATCAAAAAGCCACAGAAGGGAAAAAAATCATACTACCGTTATCACAAAATATATATAAATATGGACTAAGGAAAAATGTTCTACATACAATTTTCATTTCATTCATAATATTAAATTCGCAAAGGCTTAAAAAAGTACAATAATATGGACATATTTCTTGGTTGTAGGACGAGCAAAAAATAGTCAAAAGATAAATCAGACACAAAAATAATTTCTGATAATCCAAATTTCGAAAACAACCAACATAAATTTTAGAAATGCGTAACAGAATCTTCTATTCCTTAAGAACTACTACATTAAAATAATACTTCTAATAATAACGCATATATTCCAATTTCTTGCCGTACATTGTAGTTAAGTTACTACACTACATTTAAGTATCCGAGAATGCAAACTCAAAGGTCGTAACGCCCAGGTTTTTGTCATTATGTGAGAAAGAAAAGATACTTCAAAGATCAATTTTACGAATGTAATAATTTTCGTTTGTAGAAAATGATTATATAGTTGGCAATAGTTATTTTAAAAACGTGCAGTGAGAGGGGAAAAAATTAACATTTTATGTAGCATAAGTGTGGTAATATTAGGCTAACTTGGAATCTAGAAAAGTTTTTTAATATAATGCACATTACATTTCAACAAAGATTACTAAAAAATAATTATGTACATGTCTGAACACACAAAACCCATTTACCGCGAATAGCAGATTGATGATAAACCCTGGATTTTTTACGACCATTTCATAGTACTTACATGTTATCCCGTACTTAGTACTTACATACATTACATAAAGTTGGCTGATCATTGAAGCAGAAAAGTTGGCGGTGATATCACCAAAGTGGCGCCGATTATTCTTACGGAATTCTCAACGCACTTCTACCTGCATCTTGCAAATAAAATAGTATTAGTCGTCTCTCTGCACATTCCATCCAATAACTGCTGTGGCAGAAATATTCGATCCGCTTTGTAAAAAGCTTTCAGTAATTTCTACGATTTAGCCACGTCCTAAGACTTTACCAAAGCTCTGAGTACAAACTTATTGTTTTGTCGGACATACCCAGCTGTTCTTTTCCCCCATTGAATAGGTGTTATTTTCCTGGAATAGAGAATATTGAATGAACAGTGCAGATATATGTGTGATTTTATAATAGCTTTTTTTAATGCAAGAAAAAATACAGCAATAACAACTAATTTATATCCTTGCTTATTGGGAATCCATCGAGGGTTTCAAAGTTACATCAAACGACTGCGCAAATGTTATGAGCACGGTAACTACACTACACAGTTAACTCTTCCCGACAACATAGTCACTGGCTCATCCTCTGCTCCAAAGCTACGTCTTCATTTCTCCCATTTCCATAAGTGAAATGACGTCATTGAGTTTGAGCTAGAGAAGAGCTTAACCTTACTGACCATTGTTATGAGTGTGGTGTGATGTCAAGCTTATTCATAACTTGCACTAAATCGTGCTGCTTGACTACAATTTCATGGTCGATGGGATAATATGTAAGTACTCATTTCTTAAAATGCTTCGTAAATTAGTGAATGCATTGCAATATGCATACACGTATAATAAAAATGCCATAAACATTTCTTTAAAATACGCAGAATATCGTTTAGAAAATATTTTTCCCTCAAAACAGGGGAATAAAGAGTACTGCTAGGAGCTATGTAGTTCTTCACAGGCACAAAAAATGCATGCAGCCATTTCTGTATTTAAAACATTGCGCCCAATCACTGTTGCTTAGAAAATATAAGGATTATGAAAAAAGTAATTTCATAATAATTATATATAATAATAAAACAAAATGTATGAAGGATGTTGTTGTTGCATCATTTTGATAATTTGATGTTGTGAGAAATATTAGTCGTTAAGTGGAATGTTAGTCGCTGCATGAGACAAGCGTTGCGACTCCCAATTTTTCTCCTCACCTTTTCCTTTCATAACTGAACCCCCTTTTACAGGCCACCATGCTACGCAAAATTAAAATGAAACGGAGAAACACTGAGCCAGTCTTGGGCCCGGGGAGCAGCGAAAAATCCACAGACGAGTGAGGACAACTACAACAGCATGACGAATACTAGGCTAGACCATTCACAGACAGGGACTTCTCACCCTTTGGCAAGGATTAAATGCAACACTGATGCTTAAGAAAAAGCATAGTCTTAAATCTTCAGCCAGTGTTGAGACCAATTTAGCGGCATTCGGTCTAAACTTTTGTTTCGAGTACTTTTGTTTACTTGCTTTCTCAACTTCTTGTAAGTCTTGAGAGAAGTGAGTAGAAGGTTTATATGCACTTCAGTTGTTGAGTATACGAAAATATGCTTTGAAATGACATGTACTTAAGATTGTTCATCATATTACTGCTTCTTAAACCTAGTCCATTTCATCCACATCTCTATTAGCACTTCAGCACCATTTCCCCCATAATATGTTTAAATTTAAATGTCATATGTGCTTATGCTGCAAGAAATCCTGTTTGTCTTTGGATAAACCTTCGTGATAACATGCAAAGCCACAGGTCATTGATAAAGACTTTCAAGGACACAAAATGTGTCATTAAGAAAATTAAAGTGATATTCGATAATAAAATAATAATGCAAATTTAAAGTGCAGAAAATACAAAACCAAGTAATTGATGCAAATGTTCTTTACAATAGCTAATCAGAAAATTAAAGAAACCTTTTCAAAAATGTAAAACTTTACCCTCATATTGTTGTGGAAAAACTTAACAAGATTATAATGAAACAGATGGCACTCTTTGTGGAGTGTTTAATTTTATCTAACATAGTAAATGTGTGTTTTCTCTGCAAGGCTACCATGTTAAAGAAGAGCAAGGGGAAAATGAAGAGACGGAATACAGAACCCAGCATGGTAGTGTCACCGATGGAAATAAGTCAAGATGTGCCAAGTAGTTCTGGACCATTTTAAGACAGGAAAACACAAAAGTAGAAAATTTAACAAAACACAAAAACACTACTTGGTGTGTAGGCCACAAAATATGAATTAATGGTTATATGTTGCTGAAATTTATAAATGGTTTTGTAAGTGCTTACGGGATATGCAATCTATTTAGAAAATTGTAGAAAATATAGATAAGCAAATATATGTTTCCCTTGTTAAAATAAGCAAATTGTGCAGAAAATGAATTGCTATATTAAAGTATTTACTGCATATATGTTTAATGCAGAAAACAGACAGATGTCCGAGAAGGAAAACTAAGGTTGTTTCCACTGGTTTGCATTTGCTTATACTGCAAGGTTGAGAGTAATAAATATGTTAAGCATAATAAAGAATTTTATACAAATGAATTAAATTTTAAAACTATATTTTCTTAAGCTGTAGGGCGAAAAACTTCGATTAAGTAGCACCTCACATTATAATCCTCATACATTATCGTGAATGTTTAATTAAAAACAAAACAGAATATTCTTTGACAAAAATATGAAAACATTATATAAAGCAAAATATAAATTTTTAACACTTATTTAATCTAATTAAATCTACACTAAAATCTAAATTTTAGCACAATTTTCATTATTTAATATACTTATGCAAATAAGATATTTTTCGACTATACGAGGTACAACTGCATTTTAAGTGCTACCTTTTGACCCCAGAATTAAAACGTGTCAGCAAAATTCTAAGCTAAAGACTTGATAAATCTAGAGCTATTATTGTGCCATTAGAAGTATTATATAAAAACTAATCATATAAATATTAATATGTTACTAACATTATTACTAGAAAACTGTATCTAAAAATTATAGCAAATTGTATTAAAAAATACAAAGTTTTCTGAAATATATAAAAAAAATAAATTGAAATCTATTTCACAATATTTACCATTATACTTCGTCCACAGAAAATAAATTTTACAGGTGCTACATATTACACACATTTTGTCATATTCTCATTTGTGATGGATATTTTGAGCCTAATCAAGCATTTTTTAAAGTATAGTAAATTGTTTTTAGCGTGATTCGAAAATCAAAGTGATTTTTCTTTTTTTTCATTTTTGGCAAATCTGGAATTAGCATTGTATTTTTCTAAAAGTAGAAATAATGAAGCATAAACACTCACACAGCTTACATCAAAAAGTATGTAATAATATTTAGGAAGAAATGTACAGCTTCATAAAATTTTAATTTTGGAGAATCTTGTGAATTCTAATTAATATGTCTAATAACACAGTTCATAATACATTTAAAAATTTCATTAGTTTATTAAAATGCCATGATGAACAATATTTTTTAACTTGTTCATAACACTGAAGTTTTTAATTATAAATGTAAGCAATGGACATTTGATTATGCTGAAATATATTGCTTCCAAAATAAATATTAAATTTTAAAGTAATCTTTTTATCAGCAAAATGTGGTTTAAAAATATTTCAGTAAAACATATAATTAATTAATTTAATGCATTCTTTACATACAAGCCAGTACAGCTATTTAAATGTATATAAAAGTGTTCTAAAATGCTATCTTATTTTAAATGCTGAATGAACATTTATAAGCTTTATGATTATGCAAGCTTCACCACATCAGTATTTCTAGTACTGGAGCTCCATAGATATCCTATCAGTGCCAGTTGTAGGACTGACAAGAAATGATGAAAGCCCAATTGTTAATGTTAAAAGTGTTCCCTTTGACATGGCCATCAGTGTTTAGTCTTTGGTGAATGTCATCACTATAACCACCTAGATTTTATGTTCTCACACCTACATACTGAGCCATTAGATATAGCAGACATATTTAAGACTAAAATGTAGCCCTACAATTTACCTTTAATTAGACAAAATAAAATTAAATCTTCAAATTGAAATTAACACAAATTTTTAAGAATTTCAGAAATCAATTTATATGATGAATTTGATAAAACGTCCATAGATATGCATAGAATACTAATAAACATTTTACAAATAAAATTCCAGTGACTATGCATATATTAAATAGAACAACTTCGTTAAAAATTCTGAATGATAGATGGAAAAGAATGTTACATAAAATCACAGATTTCTGAGTTTATCTTGTAAATTTTAGCTTTAAATTTAAGACAATAACACAGCTATATCTTCTTAATTTGAAAATATAAGGAAAGTATTTAAAAAGAGAAAACTAGGCAGAGATTAAAAAAAAAAAAAAAAAAAAAAAAAAAAAACTAAATAAAAATGTGCAGGTTGCAGAAAATATGCCAAATTTTATCATAAAGAATAACATAATAAATTCTTAAGAATGCAGTTACAACAATGTGTAAGAATTTTACTGGAAGTTGAAAATTTAAGGCTTGTTTTAAATTTGATCCACCTAAAAGTTTGCTCAAGTCTCTGTTATGATATAATTGCTTAACAAAGCACTGATATTTCAATAATATATAAACTTAATCTATTGTAATACACATAAAAGGGAAAAAACCCACAAAGGATAACATCTTCGTCTGTGATTTCTACACTACATTCCAAGAACGTAAAACAAATTCCTATTTGAGATTCAAAATACACCAATAAATAATGAGATACTGTGAAGTAATAATTGTCATCTCTTAGCACGTCTAATTAATACATCTGTGTTTTAGTATAGATTAATCTATGGCTCAGGCTGTAGAGTTTTGTGGTGGGTTGCAGGTATGGACTCACAGAACAAATTTCTTTGATCATTAGCTAGGTCAGGTATAAATAATGCAACTCTAGTTAAATGTTTGTAAATTGATTGTTATCTGTACATGTATCTGATGTAATATTGTATATTTCTTGTACATACTTTAGAATAGTAGCACACAATATTTGTGATATAGGAGAAACTGATCATAGTATTACATTGAAAAAAGGTAAAACTTGTAACTAGATTTATTTCTGATAATAACAAGAAAAAATTGTGAAATATTTAAACAAATACTACAAATGTTGTAAGGGTAAATTTGTAGATATCTGTTACTTGCTTAGAAACCCTTGTTTAGTCAAAACTAAGGTAGATGGCAAATGTCGCAGCATATTTATTTATTATTTTTTTTGTTATGAAATATTACCTAGAACTATATGTGTTGAGTATTTTCTAATAAAAAGGAAAAAATATATATACACCTATAACAATATACATTTCAAACAAGGGATTCAGCTAATAGAAATTTTATATTGATTGAATGGGATAGCAATAAGCAGGAGTTTATAAGAATAATTTAAAATTCCAGAAACATTTAAAATATGCTTTGTATGGAGTGTAAAATTTACACTTATAAAAGTATCCTGTATCCATGAAAGTCCTTATACAGCTTTTATTTCTGCAACTGTTGGTCATAGACGTATCCCTCTGCTTATAAAAATGTTCCAAGTGATGCAACTATTTATATTTTGGCATCTTAAAGTTAATATATATAAATTAAAAAAAATATGAAATCAAACATTTTATATGCTCACATAGGAAACTTCTATACTCATTACAAAGAGTAAAATAGTGAAATTATGCTTCTCGTATCACGAAAAGGTGACCGCGCTATTTCATTTTAAAATTGCACATCATATTTAGGGTGACAGTGCATAAATTGAAGAGCAAATACTTCCACCTATACATAACTAAAAATAAAAGATCAGTTTAGAATAAGATTTCTGATGTTAAGAGATTAAATGACCAGCATTTCTTTGCATATTGTGTAAGGTTTTGATCGATAGTGTTTCTTTCATAAAAAGCGATTTTGTTCAAAGAATCTTTTAGAATTAATGCTTGCAAAAACACTGACAAGCTGAGTTTTGGCACATAGCCAACTCATACCATTTAGATAAATTAGAAATAAAAAATATTTCCAGTTCAGTTCTAAAGTAATAACATGAGAATGCTAATAATGTAACAGCAATTAGAAATTTAATAAATTACTAGTGAAAAATTTCTTTTAGCATATCATTTGTAACAAAATTATAAATAACAGAATGTTCACACAAGCAAATCACAAAAGATTATCATTGAATGACATTTAAAAGGGGAAAAAATCAACCTTGAATAATTCTAATTTATTTATTAACTGACTCTTCATAGCAAGCTGGTAATGTCACAAATATCCCAAATTTTGAAATAATTATTTTGTTCATTTTTTGTTATATGGAAGTCAAATTTTTTTATTTTGTTATTTATAATGAGTACATTTTCCCCCTAAATATAAGTAAGGATATAAGAAAACAAATTTTCAAAATTTCACAAATCTTTTTTTTTTAATTTAAAATGCCAAACATGAATATTTACACCATTTAAAACATTTTTTGCAACTGGAAATTGAAAGGTTATGTCCATGATCAATGATTACAAAAATAAAGGCTGAGTGTGGATTTTTGTAGACACAATACATAGAGAAAGGATTACACAAAAAAAGTTTAAAGATTCAGATGATACTTGCTATACTTTTCTTTAACATAACAATAATCTTTTAGACCTGAATCTGGTTACATGGGTTTTAAACATATGTTGATAAGCATAATAAATTTTATGCTGGTCTCAAATGAAAATAAAAAAAGGGCTATACAGCATTTTTCTATGCAAAATTTGTTGTTATCTATGTAGCATTACTACTATGCAAAATTTGAAGTATGCTGTAAGTATCAAATAAAAAATATTTTATAAAAAGATATATATACTTATGATTCTCTGACACTATGAATATATGAGAGTATTTAATACATGAATGTTGAAATTTTTGTGTTCAACAAAGAAATACGAAGCACAATATACCTAAAATATATCCACAGAATGGATGAAATGCTTACTCAGGATGTTATTTCGAACAAAGAAGCACATAAAATGAGCACACATTTGCATATTCTCTTAAAATATTAAAACAGGTTGTAATTTTTAATGTTAGAGAAACAGCGCTTTTCTGAATTATGGAAGTAAGGTCACTTTGTGTTTGCAAATACAAAATGATAAATAGAATGAATAAAAATATATTCAAATAATACATGTTTTCATTATTTTCTGATATATGTATATCTATATAATGCATATATAAATGTTTATGTTCTGTATGTGTGTAAGTTTTTGTTCTGTATGTGTACACACAAACAGGATGTCTCAAAATTATTTATACTACCTTAAAAACTTATATTCCATGAATAATACATACTGTCATCACATTTTTAAGCTAAGCAAATTTTTTTGTAATAAATCAGATTCATGAGTATGCAAAATGAATCTCATAATAAACGTCATTGCTTTAGAGGCTTTGAGCAAAGAATACTTTGAATATTTAAAATGAATTTGTTATTGTGAAGCATTTGTTCATCACTTAGCTTAAAAATGTGATAAGTGAAATTAAATTCATGAAAGATAAATTTTTAATATCTGCGTATACACAATTTTGAATATATATATTTATACGTACAAAATAAATGCTTATTAGATTTAGAATTTATTAAACCTTCAATTATTACTGCAAATTACATATATACCGCTTAAAGCGCATTGATGGTACATTGTATGAAATAAATTTACATGCAATAATAATTGATGAATTTTAATATTTTTCAAGATTATTTTGCACATATTCAGGTATGTCTTAATTGACTGTGTATCAGCATACAATGTATGTCATATTTTTTTTGGTATATCAATAAGTTTTTCATAGTTTCACTGGTTTGGTAATTACAGCACAAATGTATGACATATTTTCAAATTTTGAATGATGATTTTTTTAATGCATATATGATCATGCACACACCTTACTCAGTTCTTACTATAATTAAAAACTATGTGATTTTTACCTGCAATCCTGCCACAGTAAAAAGGCAGCTGCAACAGTTATGTGTCTTACAGTTTAAAAACTATATTCACCTCATTTAGTGTACTGCTCACTTTTCATAACATGTAAAAATAGCAAAGTTAGCCAAATGTATAAACAATCACTTATTTATAGTTTACGAAGGTTCAATGGCTTCTTGTGTTTTAACTCTATAAATGTGATGTTAAATTTAATTCTTATTTCATTTAAACTCTGATGCATGCATCTTTCTGCTAATATTTTAACTGTTACTCATTTAGAAGTATTCTCAATGAGATTTTGCATGCTAGAACTTGCGGAAGTTCCTGAAACAATTTATAAGAGCTGAAAGTTTATGTTGACAGTATGTATTGGATACAAACTGCATGATAAAATCATAGTGATAATGAAACTTTAATGTTTGGAGAATGGTTTTATTATTAATAAAGAGTGTAAAAAAAGAGCCTTGTCTTTTATTATTACATACATATATAAATCTTAACCAAATTTTACCATATTAAATGAAATAAAAATTGCATTTTAAAGAAAAATCTTTTATTCTATACTGAACTATGTAATGGAATTTTATTCAGAAAAAGTATACTTAGTTTTTTGTAAATATTAACTAATTTGAGTAAAATTGACATCATCCAGTTAATTATTACTGGAATCAAGAATATCTGTTTAAAACTCAGTTATTCGATCATAATTAAATATTAAATGCATTAAAAGGAATTTTAAATGCAGAATGTTATACATATATATATATATATATTATGAGTAGTTGAGACTATCAATATCAAATATTAAATGATATTGATAGTCTAAACTATAAATAAAATTAAAATAAATTATGCTAATCAAATATTAAATGTATTAAATGAAAATTTAAATGCAGAATGTATATATATATACATTATGAGTAGTTTAGACTATTTTACAACCATTGGCATACAACTAAGCTGATTAGTAAAATGAATATTTATCAGTGTGAATAGTTACATAATATAGAATCAACATGATATTGTAGGTTGTCATATCTACATCTTGCTGCTAGACACATACAAATATTTTAAGGTTATCATTTTTTATGATATGTAAAGAATTTTGCAGAAAAGTATTGTTCTCTTTGCGATAAATATACTTTAAAAAGACAATAATAGGATATAAAAGAAAAGAAATTTTAACAGATTTAAATTGGACACATTTATAATTTATCAACAAACGGAAATAGACTCTATGCTGAATGCATGAAATTAGTTATAGTTCATCTAATTTTTAATGAACATCTAAACTTTCTTTATCTTACCTTTCTCATTTACTGTCAGAATCTAATTTTCTGGAGAAATCTTTGAATTATTAATTCACACATATTTCATTTACAGAAGACATGTATTGAAAATTAATGCTTAGCTTAAAAGATCTGCTATATGTTACATTTTCTAAAAGACTTCAGAAAATATATCAGAGATATTAATAACATAAGCATATAACACTTAATATAACATGTTTAAGACTTTAAATATTAAAAACTATAGATTGCATGATGAAAAATTATACCTTGATGCCGTTTCTAGTTTTATTATTACACCTTATATCAATTTCTTATGAAGTTTTCTTCAAAATTTCATGAATTCTAATAAATCAAAAATTCCTTGTATTATATGTAATGTTACCTGTAATTTTTTCATTAGAAATTTCTTTTAATTAGTACTATCATTCCACCTGTTCTGAGTGAATGCCTTATATTTAGGTGGTATTAAAAGTTATTTTAGCCTAGATCCTATACATGATTTCAGGCCCATAAATACAATCATTTAAATAATAATAAAAAAAATGAAAAATTATACAGTAAAAACGTAAGTGTTACATGTTTTGCTAGAGATTTACACAAATTAGCTATAGGATGGTAGTTATAAAAAGTACCTTCTTTTCACCAGTTTAACTTCAACTCACCCATTAAGAGTCAGAAGCCACAACTTAAACTGAAACAGTAAGTAAGACTTAATTTGAATTCAAACAGTAATGCAAAATTCTCTTATATTTATTTATTTAGAATTTTAGATTAGGTTACAATTAAAACAACATTCTGCAGTTCATAAGTTAAAATGAAAGTATTAGAAATAGAAATTAAATAGGATTTGTACAACAGAACTTTATTTGAGCCTTTATATTTTGGGCAACTTTTCAAAAGGTGAGTGAACAACTTATAGTAAGCTTGCTCACATACCTAATAATTTAAATCTTAAATTACGATTACAAGTATGGCAACAAAGTTTATAATTTTATCTGTTTGTGGAATTGGTAGACTAATCAAAATCTGCTGGTGACAGCTTTTGTTTTCCAAAGAAATTTTATAATTATATAGTATTTTCATTTGTTAATTCAAATGAAGATCTATTCTAGATTGCTCACATGTGGAAAGATTTTAAACTCATTCTAATACAATAAAGAGATTTTTCGTATTTTAAAGATAGATAGATTTTAAAGATATAGATACTAACTAACAGCATAAAGAAATTTCTAAATGTGTTCAGTCAAAGCACTTATTCTGTGGCTATAAACTGAAAAATTAAAACAAAAACCTCTGTTTAACATCATATACTACTAAATGGTTAATTGTTTTGTATTATGTAATTTAAAAAAAATATATTTACTGCATGCCCATTAAAGTAAAGCAAAGGGTATAACTTTTAGTATTTTTGCTCATAGAAATTTCAAAAGCTAAATATCTGATGGATTATGTCCTTTAAAAGCAACTCAGTTTAATTTTCAGTTTCGCTTCAAGTTTCTAGAATTTTGTAACCGTGGAAAATATACAGCCTTGCAAATTCGCTGTATTAAGAATAAAGAATCATGCAATTCCTAGAAAATGCTCAACCTTAAACTAGTTGGAATAACCAGTAACTCTCACTTTCATTAGTTGCTTTTGCTAATAAGATGTTATCAATTACTTCATAATTCACGGCTCTATTCCTAATAGCCATAATATCCTGATACTCAAAATGGTCAGGATCTTTTAGATAAGCAGAAATGTTTTTAAATTAAGAGTCCATTTATAATTCAGGTATGATATTTCTCGAGAATCAGGAATTTTTGCTAGACACTAAAACCAAAATAATAAAACATTCTCTGGAGTAGATAGTAATTAGATAGTTGATTAACATGGACAAAATCTAGCACATCCAATACCAGGAAAGCTGACTAAAGTGAAATATGGAAAATAAAGAATGCTACAGAACTTTTTTTTACTTTTTTATTAATTTACATGCCACTGCATTTTCATGGAAATAATCTGCATGTTATTTAGCCTGAATCCTGTATCTTATTTAGCCTGAATTTAAAACAAAACTTGGTTAACAAAATAGAACTAATAAAACTGATCACATACAGTCAACTCCTGACAGAAGAGAGAGTTTATTAACCAGACTTTATCTGAAAAAAAGGGGGTTGAATTTGTTAAATACAGAACAACAGAAAAATCACTATTGCAAACCATTGTAATAAAGTGACATTTCTACAAGAAATGCAAAAAGGATGAAGAAAATGAATGAGATCCTGTCTGTGGTGGCAGCTGATACTACAGTATTTAGAGATTGTTTTTATCCTCAACAGTATATAATTTAATTGTAGATAATTTAGAATATAAAAATGTTGTTAAATAATTCATTAAAAATTAACTGAGAAATCGCAAAAATAAATTGCGTATACAGCTATTAAACCTCTTTTTCCCACAGACTCCTAATAGCACAGATTAGATTTCAGGCTAACTTATTATAAAAATACAAGTATATAAACAAAAGCACTGTTTTATCTGTTTGGAGTGTGTTCTCATTTTGAATGAATTTAATTTATTATTGGAGCAAACAAACTCATTCTCTAAAGCAAACTTTTATAAAGGAAAGGAAAGTATAAATAGTATTTTTTAATATAATGGAGTATTCCTCTTTCCTGATCTTTTTTTGTCATATTAACCAAGTAAACAATGGACACCATGCCTTAGTGATTACTGTGGTTAATTTGGAGTCTAATCTACATTACTCAAAATTTACATTGTCAAATTATACAGATGATCAGTTAAAAAATATAGAAAGAAATGAAAAATAAGGACATATTTATTAGAATAAAGTTTTTAGTATATATTTACCAATAACAACAATGGTAGCACATTATAAGGTCATTATATTTTGTGCAATAATAAATTCAGATAACGCATTCTGAAGTCTGTTACACCCAGTTTATTGCCTTCTGTGCAAAAACAGCAGTAAGAACGCCTGCAGTAGCCCTCCCCCCCCAAAAAATGGCATATATTTGTTTTGTGGAAAGATACTTGTACACTCTCATTCTTTATAAAATATTTACAATAAAAAAATATAAAACAACTACTGAATCTGAAAGCTCGTCTTATCTACCTTAGCTCACACATGGTTTTTTTTATATTGCCATTTTTTCTACATTAATGTAACATTTCTTATTAGACAAAAAATTTAAAACACTTAATACATTATTTTACATTTGAAATAGAAACTTGATTTGGCATTCAGGGTCTTTACAAATATCGAAGTTGGAGGCAAAACATTTTATGTGGGCCCCCTTCATCCTCCATTTATTTTCTTTTCTTTTTTTTTTTTTTTTTTTTTTTACTATAATAGATACAACTGATGCAAAACTGTATAAAATATTTTATGAAAGTACCAAATAATTTACTTTTTTTTGTTTGTCAAATGCTTTATAAAATTTAAGATTGAACATTTTAAACTAATTTCTTTTTTCCCTGGAAAAACCTCGGATAAAAAGCAGGATCTAACAAATTCTTAGTGAAGTTATTAAAAATCTTAAATTAATTAGATTGCCTATTTAATACAAAAATAATGCAATTAAATTTCTCATCAGTTTAACAACTATGAACTCTTATTTAGATTTTTAAAATTGGCAACAGCTTGTTATCTTTACTTTCTTTCCAAATATAGAGCTCATGTTTGTGGCATAATAGTTATATTTTTCCCATAATAAATGTTTTATTATGCTTATTAAGAGTTCCTACTCATCGTGTAGGAAAACTTCTGGTTTAATACTCATATTCACATAATACTACAAGCTTCAAATTTAATGGGCAGATGACAATAAGAAATGGCTGTGCAGATTTAATTTTATTTTACAAAACAAGGTTTTGTTAAATAGCATCAGTTGCTAATGAAAGTGCAAGATAATTATTCTAATGTCTAATTTTTTAAAACATAAAAAAAACTAAAATATGAATTTTTTTATTTTATTCCTGCTTCTAATTATATAAAGCTTACAGATAAATTATTTAAAATGTTACATATTTTAAATATTACAGAAGGATTTGAACACCCTGAAAGACGAGGCCTGGGATATATTCCCATTTTTCCTTTGCATAAATTAAGCCCAGTTGGTACTAGAAGAAAAGTATGGTACGATCACTATTCAGACAAAAAAAAAAAAAAATCTGAAGTTTTGAAAAAATGGTATCAATAACTAAGTTTTCAGAATTTTTTTTCCAATGAAAAAAGGATATAGACAATGATAGTGATTACATAGCTTAATTTTCAGTGCTCTGCTTAAGATGTTACTTTAAAGTTGAGCTATAACAATGACTGAACTTTTGAAATGATCTAATATACAGCATCTTTATACAATATTTCTAAATGCATAGAATTAAAAAAAGTTTACATTTCGTAAATTTTAAAAACATTTTAAACAAAAAAGAAATTTGTATGAAATATAACTTTCAGAGAGAAAATATGCTTTCAAATAAATGTATGTTTATTTCCATTGAATATAAAGAAACTTCTAGAAAATTTATGAAGACATTTTATCAATCCATTGCAGTTGCTATAAAAATATATTTATGTACAAATATTCATAAAATCTCCAATAATCTTACAATTGAAATAACAAAATATAAAAATGTTCAGCAAAAGAAAATATATTATAACAAGGCTAACAATCTTATTCAATTTTCTGAAATACTCATACAAAATGCTGAAATATTTCTTTGCTAACGATCATAACGAAGAAGTTAATTACTTGTGTTAAACAGGATGCCAGTTTGGAGCACGTTTTTCAAAAAATGCTTTAATACCTTCTATAGCTTCTTTATTTGCTAAGTTCTGCACCATTATTTGAGACCCCAACCTATACATGCAAATAAAAATAAATTTAAAAAAAATTAATGCTTTCTAATATTTATTACTTAGTAATTAATTTAATATTACATCGGTAAAAAAAAGATCAGAAATATGTTTCACTTAAATTTATTATTTTCACTTAATTATGTTAAATGTAAAACTGTAGGTTTTTTGGTGCCCACAATTATGCCTACATCTATAAAAGCACTGGTGAATGAAATTATCTAAGGTGATACATTGAATCAACACATGCATTCAAAAGTGGAAAATTATATATAAATGCCTATGATATAAAACTATAATGTGAAAGAAATAAAATTAAAAAATAAAATCAAATCTTAAAGCTTTCAGATTTTATATTATGCCCAAAAGAGCATTTTTTAATGTTTTGTGTGTTACCTTTATTTATAAAACATCATGTTCTTTGCACTTAAAACACATAAAATTCAATTCAACAGCAATATCACAAAATATTTAAAAACAGCATATTGTTAGAATTTCTAATACACAGTCTCGCACGCTGGGCATAAAAATGTTTTTTTTTTTCTGTATGGTGTTGTCTGCTTGCTTTGAAATGATTGAGTTTGCTAATTAAAAATTCGTTAAAGTTTTATAAAATTTTAAATAGATAATAAGACAAATTCAGAATTTAAAATTCAGGCTTCTAAATGCCCAGGTTCAGTTGGAGGACTACTTTATTCAAAATTTGATGTCTCTAGGTACCATTATTTTTTCACAATGCAAGAAACATTCATGCATTCATATGGATTCTTCATTATTTAGTTTCTTTAAATATAATATTTGGCGACAACAGTTTAAAAAGTGAATCTATGCAACATGCCTTTTTGAAATTAATAGCCCTTCTGTGCTAATGCCCTTTGAAATAATATATGACAATGAAATGTTAGGAAAAGTAATGCAGATTTCTGACATTATTATGAAATTACATTTCCTTTTAACAGGAAATGTAATTTCTTCTGCTTTGTAAAAATGTAGCACAATGCAATTTCATCTTTTCAGTAAGATGGTAATGAAGTCTGGTGAAGTAATTTCAGTCCTCCACTTATACGGCCATTAATGCACTTTTCTTAAGCAACTGTTCTTTGTATGTTTCTAGCAGTTTTCTAAAATTCAGATCAGATTTGGCCACCAGTTTATTAGTTGAAGGATTTCAGTTTTAAGAAATCCATTTACTAAGTTTGTTCATTAGAAACATATGTTGTTAAACACAGAAAGAAAATTCAGACACATAAGCACTTCTAAACACTATATATTCTACCAACTAATAAGAGTGTAAGATCTTGTCCTCTTCGCTACTATAAGGTTAAAATGATATTACTAGGAAACCTGGCAAATTCTTGCACAGGTGTGAATAATACCAGCACAGAAGAAGAAGAAAATAAACCTTTATTCATCAAATTCTTAACACAAATGCACGTGCTTTGTGATTACAATAATATGATTTTATTTCAGACAAAGACAAATCGGATATGATAATAATTAAGTTTAACCATTCCATGAAAAACAGATCAAATTTATTTGTCATTTCATGAAATGTCATTATTTTAATGCATATAAAAATAATACAGTACAAAGTCCGTGATCCGGACTCGTCGGGACTTCGGCGATTCCGGATTTTAGATCATCAATTTAAATCTGGTAAGATGGCATACAGAAATTATACAATAAAAAATATGAAACCGTAATTTATGAAATACAGAGCAATTATGATCTAAAGAATATCAAAATTTACAAAAAAAAAAAAAAAAAAAAAAAAAAGGCTTAATATTTATTTGTTCACTTTATTAAACATTTCTTTTAATGTAAGTTGCTTAGTATTTTGTGCTAATACTTTCTCTTTAATTCTCTCTTCTAAAAACAGACATAATTTCTTGTTCAGTTACAAAGTTCCACTGTCCAAATCCTGTAATTGCCATGTCGAGAATACCGACTAACTTGTCAATCGAAATTTTTTCGTTTTCAATAACCTCTACGTCACTTTCTTCACTATCAGAAGCACGCATGTATAAATGCTTTACTGGCTTTACGTACATGAACAGCAGATGCACGCATCAAACACGCATATGTAAATGCATTACGAGCATAAGTTTGTGGATTTGAAGTCCGGATTATAGATCATTCCGGATAATGGACATCCGGATTACAGACTTTGTACTGTATTGAACAAACCTGTATTATTATTATAGAAAGAAGAAAAAAGATTTTCTGTCATAAATTAATACTTGCACTTTTTGTTGATGTTTTTAGACGTTAAAAAATGTATTTGAGGCAAACAAAAATTATTGTACATGTGCAACAATTTTATAGCTTTATTGTGGTTACTTTCTTCACTTTGGACACTTGCTTTCTACATTCATTACGTGGTAGCAAGGCAAACTCCAGTTGTAAGTTATACAGCTAACTAAAGTTGATACAAATAATTTAAAAGAAACTTTAAGGCAATGGATTCTACCGACATAAAGTCACAGTACTATATGAAAGCAGACTGAAAATATTTTGCTGCAAGTCTGTATAGTAGCAATTCAATTTCAAAGTTCACTATCTAAGCAAGTGATTATTTGATACCAACAAAGAATCAAATAAATTTCCTGAATAAGTATTATAATTAGTTCAAAGGGGCAATCTGCCCAGAGGGACTATTAATTTCAGTTTGGTATTTTGTGCCGATTCAATATAAATATCGGTTCACTATTCAAATTGCTGCCACCAAATATTAGAGCCCTGTATCATATATAACGAAATTAAATAATGAAGAATCTGCATAAATGTATGTATGTTTCTTGCACTGTGATAAAACAAGGGGTACCTAGAGCCATCAAATTTTGAATAATGTAACCTTCCAACAAATATGGGCATCTGAAAGCCCAAATTTGGAATTTGTTTTATTATTTAGTTCATATTTTGTAAAACTTCAGTGAATTTTTTATTAACAAACTCAACAATTTCAAAGCGAGTCATGGCAACACCGTACGAAAAAATAAATATTTTTATCTTCAGCACAGGAGACTGTGTATAGGAAATTCTAAAGATATGCGCATTTAAAAATTATTTTTCGATATTGCTGTTGAACTCAATTTTATGGTTTAAGTGTGAAGAGAACGGTATTTAATAAATAAGGGTAATGCACAAAACAGTTAAATAAATGCCTATTTAGGCATAATATATATATATATGTAAGATAAAAAATATGAAAGCAAACTTCTAAACTTAATTCACTATAACTTCCATTATTTTCTATTTCATTTTTAGAATAATTATAAAATTCATATTCAAAATTCTCAACAAAATTTCAAGAACATAAAAACTTATCTTAATATCCTTCCCTATGAATAATTTAAATAGCTTAAAATTTGTTACTTAATTTTCTCACACATAATTATGAAAAATTAGAAAAATTAATGAACAAGAATTTCAGATTTTCTCAAAGCAAATTGCAGAAATTTTAACCAATGTTGAAATGAAAACTATAGAATTCGCAGCACATTAAATAATTTAGTTCCTAAGCTAGGTTCACACGAATGTAATAATTTTTGAGCTGTTGAAAAAGTGGAAGTGCAAATAATTTTCTGTCGCACATACTTGCAAACAGTAACTCCGATCGACCTTGAACCCACTGTAATGCTGAATCCCTAAAGGGTAATTCACTGATGATTTCCTTTTCACTAGGCATTCGAACTTCTCAATTTATAGAGAGATTACTTTCAATCTGTAAACATTACGCGTAATTATTTTTTTGAAGCACTTGCAAAACACCACAGCAGAAGAATGATCTGTTATTTTTTAAACACTGAAAAAACAAATTCAATGATTCACTTCTTTCACATTATCTTGGATTTATCACAAAACGATGATTTGAAGAGCTGAATTAAATTTTCCATTGAGGTTTCAGGCTGCAGGAAACTATCCTACCGGCTTAATTGTAATAATAAAATCACAAGAAAAAGCCGGAGCAATGTCGATGCGTGCTTAGATCCATATTGAAGAAGAATTTTGATTGCGTAGTATTTAAAGAACTTGGCATTCGAGGCAGTTTTAATTCTATTTTTATTTCCAATTGATATTTGTGGCCACAATCACTTGGCACTCTAGTCGTGCCTTTCCCACAGAATATTTACATTTTTGAATATTGTTGGGATAGAAAGCAAGCCAGCGAAATTACATCTTAGCACAGTAGAGAGCAATAAAGCTGAAGTGCGTAGTTATGAAAGATGGAAGCATGCGAAGAGAAAAGTTTCAGTTTGCAATTTGGTGATTGGTCGAGAGGGATCTGCATTATGGGTTAAGTAAGATCGCATGATTAATTTGAATGACGCAATTTAGACTTAAGCGTTATTTTTAGGACAGATAGAGGAAGTTCTCAAATGAAATAGAAAATAATGGAAGTTATAGTGAATTAAGTTTAGAAGTTTGCTTTCATATTTTTTATCTTACATATCATTTGTACAAAACTCTTCAATGCGACTAACACATACCTGGTTGCAGTACTTTTCATAGGATATAAGCGTGTAAATCTTGTAAAATTATCAATTATTACAATTAATTCTGTATTTCCTCTTGAACTTTTTACGAATGGTCCTAAATAGTCTATATGTATGATTGCAAAAGGTCTTCTACCAGGATTAATTAGATGCAGTACACCTTGTTTCTTACCACTAGGTACTTTATTTACTACGCATTCGAAACACATCGAAATGTGACACATAACATATTGTTTCATTCTTTTAAACCAGTACGACTCCTGGATTTTGGCAACAGTTCTATTTGCAGAAAAATGTTCTGAAAGATTGTGAAATTTTACTACTATATCTTTTCTCATCCACTTAGATATGATATATAACAATTTCTCCTTTTCCTGATCTTTTACCTTACGAAACAATCGATCATTCTTCAAGATGTAATTTTCAGTTACATATTTCTCTGCATTCGTTCAATCATTTATCTTTTTCGTTAAAATGTCCATTAATATGTGTAATTCTAGATCTGAAT